ACATCGCAAAACAATTGCTAAAATTAAGTTTGCTAGTGGCTAACAGCTGATCTAGTCTGCTGCTGCTGCTGCACACACACACACACACACACACACACACACACACACCTGTCCGCTTAGTGACAGAACACTTTTTTCCTATATTGAAGACAACCTTCCTTAGCTCTCAGTCCCCAAGTGGGTCAGGTGAGTTCTCTCTAAATGCTTAGGGATTCCCAGAGTTTTGTGGAGGAATGCCACAAAATACCACAGGGCCATCCCAGGCCCTGCCTTTCTGGCCTGCTCTGCCAGTCAGAGGCTCCCTGTGGATCACAGGGTTATTTTAAGGATCATGTAAGCTGTGGAGGAGTTGGGGAACCACTGACAGTGAGGTTTCCTGGAGCACTAGGGAACCCCCCTTCAACATACACACAACAGCTCAGGTTTACTATGGAAGACTTCCTAATTCCCCTTTGCCCCCAGCACCATCAGAGGCAGGGACAGGTGAGGGGATTGGGAAGCAGAGGAGAGGATGGAGGGGATAAAGAGGATTTTATCACACATTACTCTTCAGGATCTGTGGGACTCCCGCTGCATTAGAAAGTAGGAAAAGGGGCCAGACACTGGTGGCTCATGCCTCTAATCCTAGCTACTCAGAAGACTGAGATCTGAGGATTGTGGTTCAAAGCCAGTCCACACAGGAAAGTCCCTGAGACTCTTGTCTCCAGTTAACCACCAGAAAACCAGAAGTAGAGCTGAGGCTCAGACTGGAGGAGTACTAGCTTTGAGCAGAAGAACTCATGGACAGAGCCCAGGCCCTGAGTTCAAGTCTCATGGCTGACCAAAGAAAAAGTGCTAAAAGTTGTCTTTGCCCCCTAAGCTCCTCTCCATGGCACCACAGACCTGGAATATGGCGTAGTCACTCATAGAGCACCATAAGAAAACTGAAGCTTAGTGGCATGGTCATTTGGAGATGAGGGATGTGCTTTGGAGCCAAACTGGTGTTTATGAGATGCTAAGGCTACCTCACAGCTGAGGAAGGATATCTTCGACGCAACAGCAGAGCCACATCCTTGTTACATTCCTTTCCTTTCCCAAGACTATTGGGTCCCTTCTCCCCGAACTTTCCTCTCCTTTAGTGCCCAGACAGGCTCATTGGTCAAGGGTCAGTGCCAGGTTGGGTGCGGCTGCCCGGTGACTCCTGGGAAGTGGAGTGATGTCAGCCCCTGCTTCCCTTTCCTTCCTTTCCCTTCCCATCTTTTCCCCTCCCCAGGCTCCACTCCTGTCACAGCTTCCCACCTAAGACCTTGGATCCTCAGGGCTCAGAGTCTGTGCTGGCTAAAGCTCAGGACATGGACTTGTGGCGAACTCTAGGCTGTCTGGGATGGACAATCTGGGTCAGCAGTGGCTCAGTAGCCATTCCCTTGGTGAAGGGACATGGCTGATCCTACAGTTCTGGGCTGGCTCCTTTCCAGCAATGTGTGGGCAGATGTTGGAGAGAAGCGTTGTTGTTTCCCCTCTGCTGCACAGGGGAAGTAGGGGAAGGTAGAATCAGGGATCGTGGCAGAAGCTGGTATAGGATGGTGGTCAGGATGAAACTTCCTAAGTAGGAGTGTCTTTTGCAGCGCTATTTCCCCTGGGAGTCACAAAACAATTAAGGAAATCAGCTCTGTGACCACAACATGAGAAACACAAGTGGAAGAAGCTGCTTCCATGTGGGGTTTGGGAAGTAGCCTAGCCTAAGCATCTCCTTTGCAGTCCTGACTTTTTGAAACCACATAAGATAATAAGCATTTGATGTTTTCCTCTGCTCAGTTTGGGATCATCTGAGATGTCGCAATAGATGGATAATAAATAGCTTTCAGGCCTTTACTCAAATGCTCTTTTCTCAGTGAGTCCTATTAAAATGTCAGCTTCTTCATAATATATTCTTTATCTCCCTCCCCTGCTTTATTCTCTTTGGCATGTACTAACATTGGAGTCGACTAGTTTCCATCTTTATTATGTGTTCCCTGGTCTAACTCCTCCCCACCCCCAATGCACATTCTAAAATGAGAAGAGAATCTAGAACTTTTCAACATTTATTTAAAAGTAGAATGGTGGAAGTGGTGCTGTGGTTCAAAGTGATAGCGTGCTAGCTTTGAGCAAAAAAGCTCAAGGATAGTGTATAGGCCCTGAGTTCAAGCCCCATAACTGTTCAAGATAAAAAAAAAAAGTAGAAAGGCATAATGCCCACTAGAATTGAAGCTGAGGGAAAGGAGGGAATATTTAACTATTATCTTCTCTGCAGTACCTTACCTTCATGTCCAGAACAGCCCAAGATACACAATGGGCCTTCAAATTCATTGAATGAATAATAACATTACCTCTGAGGATAGTTCTCAAGTAGAGATTTTAAACAGCACTTTTCTTTCTGTTTCTTTCTTTTCTATAGTTCAAGCACTACAACATAGAGCCTGGTAGGACCTGTCTAATCCACAAGTCGTAGCTTCTATTGTCACACAAAGACTCAGAAATGCCATTTCTCACAATGGCCTCAGTTTCTTATCTTACAGTGGAAAAGATAGCACATATTTATTTCTTAGTTTTCGTTCTATTTGTGTGTGTGTGTGTGTGTGTGTGTGTGTGTGTGTGTGTGTGTGTGTGTGTGTGTGTGTGTGTGTGTGTGTTGGTCCTGGAGCTTGAACTCAGGGCCTGGGTGCTGAGCTTTTTTTGCTTCAGGCTGGAACTCTACCATGTGCACCATACCTTCGGTCCCAGCTTTTTTTTTGCTGGTTAACTGGAGGTAAGACTCTCACAGACTTTCTTGCCTGGGCTGGCTTTGAAACCACAATCCTCAGATCTCAGCCTTCTGAGTAACTAAGGATTATAAGCCTGAGCCACCAGCCCTTGGCAATCATCATAATTTTAAAGACAGATTTCTGTGCTTTGAAACTCAGATTTACATAGCTTTCAGCTTCTCCACTGCCCTCTCTTTTCACAGGTTTTGCTCTAGGGACAGTCATTGTAAACCACAGACAGAGGCCTGGCTTGTTCCAGAATCCTCCCATCCTGGCCTGGCTTCTGTTTCCATCCTGACTCTTGGCTTTGGTAGTGAGGATAGCAAACTCACTGCATCCAGGCCCCATCATTTGTGCACATCTGGCTGCCCTGGTTTCAGTGGACAAGGACTGGAGGAAGTTATCACCATTAAGAAAGAATGCTGTGGGTCAGCTGGGTTGGGGGTGGGGGGGTGACCCAAGGCCATCTGTGTCCTTCTACCCTGAGCTCAGCCCACGTGGAGTCCGGGTGGCCATCACCCCAGATGACCTTGGGCCCCAGGGATGGAAGCTTAGAAAATACAAAAGGGCCTTAGTTCAGGGCAACTCAGGCTCCAAGCTACCCCTTCAAGTCTCATCCTGGCTTGATCCAAGAGCCTAGTACATTGTAAGTAGGTCAGAGAATCTTCCATGGGAAAAGGCCTGGAAATGGCCTTCTTTCTGTGGGTGGTATGGTCATCAGTGGGACGGGTCCTGCTGCTGGTGAGGTCACCTACCCAGAGCCATAGGTCTTGGCCTAGCCTGGCCTGGCCTGGCTCGGTTCCATCCCTGCTTCAGGTTTGATTTTGTGTCCTAGCCAAGCCTCAGAGATCAACTGGACTGAGCCCTTTAGGCCAGCTGCAAGGTGGGGTAGGGCATATAGCACTTACTGGAATTCTACCTTCTGGGGTCTAGAGGTAACCCAGGCTAGCTAGTACAGGGACAGAAGTCCCATGGATGACAATGTTCTGCCCACAGCAGTGTTGCTGTCACTCGGATTTTCTTCTTTTTCTTTTCCTGCACCGGGATGGGATAACTTTTGTTTTGTTTTGCCAGTGACATAGGGATCTCACTACCTGTCTCAGGCTGGTCTCAAACTCACAATCCTCCTGCCTCAGCCTCCCAAGTGCTTGCCAGCCGGCTTGGCAAGCAAAAGTATTGTTTTTAATTACTAGATAATTTGTTTTATTACTAGATAATTCATGGCATTGAAGTGGGGAAAGTCAAGCTGGAGGACAAGAACAGAAGTATGGTGCTGGATTTATCTCTTATGGGATGTTTAGCTGAGTTTGGAGGAGGGAGAGGGGACCAGGCAGAAGAAGCAGTCATAGGTTGAACACTGGGAAAATCAAGGAAGGTTTCTGCATCTCACAACCCCAAGGGAGAAGAGCTCTTTCTTTTTTTGACAGCTCTTAGACCAAGTCTCCTTCTTGTGTACTTTAGAACCTTCAGGTAGCAATGGGCATGTGGGAATGAATGCCAGTCGATGGCTGGGATCCTGGGACTAGACTTTGAAACCCCAGGGGCAGAAGCGGACAAGGGAGTGGGAGGGTGAGGTTGGGTCGGTAACAGCCCTGGGGATGTTTCAGAGGATCCCAGCCAGAAAGGCACCTTGCTCAGCCCATGGAGAAGACTTCCACCCCCACCTGCAAAGAGAAGCTGGCTATCTTGGAGATTGGTCGGGGGCTAGATGTGGGCAGGAAGCCGGGGTCCTGTGCAGCCGAGGTAAGGGAGGAAGGTGGCTGCGTGTCCCATTGGTCGCTGGGACACTCGGGGTTTCACCCTGTGGAATTCTCACTGTGGTTTTTCTTTTTCTTTGACCAGAGACCACCTGGGAACGCCCCAGCACTTCTCCTGGGATTTCAGCCAGCCCTGGCCCTCACAGGAGCTCTCTGCCTCCAACAGGTACCGTGCACTCATCAACTTTGGATATCAACTTTGGGTTCTATGCCCCTATCATGGGAAAGGCCTGAAAGCTGGCTTGGGGGTCCCATCAGCCAGAGCAGGAGGGCTCGGGCTGGATGAGGACCCTGAAGCTGTCTGCCTGGCAGCTTGGTGACACCCGGTGATGTGGCTGCAGCTCACGTGATGTCAGAATGAGGTCCCATAGCCCAGGTCCTGCCCGATATAGGGATGGAATGGCTCCATCCCTACACTGAGGATTAGAAGCTAAAAGGATATGGAGTTTTAGAGGGCAAACAGAATGTTCTAGAATTCTTGTGGAGGCTGTGAGTTCTTTGTCTGCAGAGGTCAGCACATGAGGCCTTTGAAGTAGACCTTCTTATTAGAGGTTTGTCTGCGATTCCTTAGAAGACAGCTAGTGCTGATGTGCCAGGAAGAAGGCTGTGGGACTTACCCTTTGGGAGATCTGCTGTGAATATATCATGGTGTAGGTCTAGTCTTCCCTGATATCTGCTTAAAACCCTCACTTGCTTGCTGTAGAGCCATGGAGCATGCTGCTTGACTTCATTCAGGGTTCTTCTCCCTGTGATTACTGATCTTCCTTACTCTACAGGGAGCTCCTTGAGGGTAGTAGTTGGGTTTTTCTTACTTAATGGACACTTGGGGGCCCACACAGAGCCTGGTTATATTGCTGAGTGTCACAAATGTCACAAGCACACTTGATGGGTCTCCCCTTTAGAAAGTGAACTTGGTGCCGAAGGGTAGCTGGGAATTTAACTGTGAACAAGTTAAGAGTGAGTGTGGTTATCCCACCTATAATTCCAGCCACTCTACTCAGCAGGCAGAGGTAGGAGGATCATCATCGAAGATGAACGCAAATCCTTATCTTAAAAAAACAAGGCATGAGGCCGGGGAGGCTGGGAAGGGATGGGAAGGGGAAACAAAGGAGGAGGCTACAATGCTTGATAAGAAATGTACTCATTATCTTGCCCATGTAATTGTAACCCCTCTGTACAATATTTTCACAATTAAAAAAAAAACAAGGCATGATTCAAGCAACAGAGCTCTAGTCTTGTAAGCATGAGGCCCTGAATTCATTATTATTCAAGTATTCAATTCCCACTGCTGCTGTCAAAATTTATCTGTATGTGTGTGCATGTGTGTGTGCATGCATGTATGTGTGTGTGTGCATACATCCAGAGAGAGAGAGAGAGAGAACTCAGCAGAAAGTCTAGCAGGACAAGGGTGAAGACACCAGCAGGAGAGGGAAGCCACCATCCTCAGCCTCTGGAGAGGAAGGAAAGTATCCTTATAAAGTTCTCGGAACAAAAAGTAGTCTGAAGATCTGAATCATTTCCCTGACACAGCACAGATAACCGCAGAACAAAAGTTGGTAAGAGATTCACCACGTGGTGCTCATTGTCAAAAAGCAGCTCATACCAGTGTGCTGTGAGGGATGGGAAAGTTGCTGGGAACTGGAAATGACAGTGACACAGTTCCCTAGGAGGAATCAAATGAGGTGACACTGGTGGTAGTGGGGGGAGGGGGTCTTAATGAAAGTTCTTCCATGTTTTAACTTTTTTTTTAAATTTTATTTGTGAAGATACTGTACAGAGGGGTTACAATTACATGGGCAGGATAATGCGTACATTTCTTACCAAATGTATGACATATGTTTCTTTTTACTAATAAAATTTTTTATAAAGGACTTCCCTATGCAAGAGGAAAATAAGTCCCATTTCCTGAGGAAATGGTGCAGCCTCAGACCAAGTCCCTGGAAATGTTCCCCTTCAGCCTTCCTAGCTACATGCTAGATGACCAGAGATAGTTCCAAGCACACAGCCTTTCCTTCTGCTGCTCCTGTTGCTGAGGCTGTTTTAACAATAGAGTTGCCAGCATGAATGATGGGAGGCGGGGACCCTGCTTTCTGGTTCATTCCAGACCAGCCAGCCAGATAAAGGGGGCAAAGCTCAACTGTCTTTTCTGGCCAGATGCTTTGTTCTTTCTCATTGAAGCTAAATATCAAAACTAAAGGATAAAGTAGTAACCACACTCTCTGGAGGAGCACTAAGTCCCCCCCTCACCCATCTAGCTCTACAAACAGTTTTCAGAAGGTGGAATTTTATTATGGAAAGAGAAATCGATGTGGCAAGAACACCAGGTTGCTTTAAAACTTGGCTCCTGTCCTCGGGCTTCAAGAGTTTGTGGACTGCTGTCCTGGGGACCCCTCGAGCACCTGGATCTTAGCCCGAACTATTGTGTTCCTGTTTCTGAGAAAGCCACAGAAATGGAGTGGCAGCCCCTTTTATTCCTAAATATGTCAACAGTGTTTCTCCATACTGGGGACATAGCCACAGATAGACAGGTACCATTTCTGGGGAGCTGAACAGAGAAGAACACAAGAAATGAGTCACATCCTCACATAGGAATGAAAGTGGGGCTGGGTGACAGAGGGTAACTAAGAGATCTGGGAAAGCCTCGTAGAAGAAATGACATCTATGTTCTTTTAAGGACAATTCCAAGATGGATGGGGGAATAAGAATGAGTTCTAGTCAGGGATCCGTTACCGCAAAGGCCCTGAGGCAGGAATAACATTAGAAGATTTAAACAGAAAGTGGACCTGTAGGTCTGGAGGATGAGGTTGGGACAAGCTGGAGAATGACAGGAGTTAAAAGACTGGAGTTAGTGCAAGCAGAGCCTGCCAAGCCAGGTAAGCCAGAGGCAAGTACTGCAGGGAATGGGTGGGGGCCAGGGAGGGGAAACAGGTGCTACTATATGCCAAGAGAGAAAAGGTGAAGGAAGGGCAGAGCAGGTTCATTACATGGCATTGACAGCCAGAGAGAGACAACGCTTCATTCCATCCTGTCTGTCTTTAGGGTATGGACATGAACTATAGGTTTAAAAGAACAAGGAACTAGAGGCAAGAGACAAAAGGTATGAAAAAACAGTCCCAAGACTGGTTAGGAGCAGCCTGGTTCTGGGGAAGTGGTTACGACAGCCAGGTCAGGATAAACAAGTCATTGATGCCTAGAAGGTAGTGAATCTTTTCTAGCTTCCAACGTGGTTGTGAAGTGATGACAGGAGCGAAGGGCTCAGCAGAGCAAAGGGCACAGATACAAAATGGAAGATGGGATGTTGAACTTTTATCCTGCCTTTATTTAATTCATGAGCCCATGTAAAGAGCCAGTATGTGTGTGTTTGTGCACGTGCATGCTTGTGCTTGCGCATATGCACACACACACACACACGTACACACATGCACACACACACACATACACACATATGCTGGTCCTGGGACTTGAACTCAGGGCCTAGGCAGTGCCCTGAGCTCTTATGCTCAGGGCAGTACACTATTATTGAGCCACAACTCCACTTCCAGCTTTTGGGTGGCTAATTGGCAGTAGGATTCTTGCTGACTTTGTCTGGGCCAGCTTTGAATCATGATACTCAGATATCAGCCTTCTGAGTAGCTTAGCTAAGATTACAGGTATGAGCCACCTGCACCTTCAGTACCCCTCATCAATTTCTCCTGTTGACATTCTATTGATTTGTCAAAATTAACATTATTCTACTAATGCAGTGTTTTTATTCTCATCTCATATTTTCCCATTAATTTTTTTAATCGATGATCCAATCCTGGAAGTCATATCACATTTAGGTTTTATTTAAATCTGATTTGTTTCTGTGTCCTTGGCCACCTGTGGCTATTGGCTACTCTGTCTTACTGAGCAGATGCAGGGAGGGGTTTTCTAATCCTCTAGGCTAAGAATCGGCATTGAACTTGTATTTGCATTTTCCCTCAGGATAGAGAAAACCTGTTATCTGCTGGAGGTTCCCTCGTAGGAGTGAAGCAAGGGTGTTTTGGGAAACTTGGCTTGGGATCTGGCTGTGTTCCACCTTAAGGATTGAGCCCAGCCAGGCATCATCCTTAGGCTTTTGGGAACCCAAATTAAAGGGGGAGACAACCAAAATCAGGGAGGTCCTGCCTGTCTGTAGGAGGATGAGGAACTAACCAGGAGTGCTGGAGCAGAGAGCTGTGTCTCCCCTACATGGAGGCTCATGGGAAGAGGCTGTAAACTCATAGCTTCACCTTGTCCACCTCTTCTTCCCAGATCCTTAAAGCCCTGGATGGCTCACCACTCCCATCCAGGACCACAAGGGGGACTGCCCCTCCTTACAGACTGAACTACTCACCAGGCCCAGAGTGGCTCCCACACCCCTAAAACAGACCTGCCTTGTTGACGTCAGGAGATGCCCTGGCACCCATTACTAGAAGGAGGCTTGAGTGGTCTTTTTTGGCTTGGTGTTCCTTTTGTTTGTTTGTTTTTGTTTGTTTGAGCAGTCTTGCCAAGTAGCCCAGGCTGAACTCAAAGTTGAGATCCTACTGCTTCTGCCTTCTAAGAGCTAGAATTCCAAGCATTCCTTTAGGAACCCACACTCCTGGGGGCCGAGGCTCCAGAGACTTTACAGAAACTTGTTTAACATTTGGCACCCCTGGAAAAAGAGCTTCTGTTTCCAGCCATTCACAGCCATAGGTGAAAAATGTCTTAGACAGCCAAGGCAGACAGTAGGAACCAGTAGTCCAGATAGAAACTTCTGCACTGTGCCCACTGTACCATCAGCATGCTGAGCTCAGAACTGACTCTGGCTTCCTTGACTTCAAGCCCTGTGTTCTTGCAGCCACAGCTGTCTTTCCCAAGGTAGGTTCTGACAGTCTTTGCTTTCCTGGCCCCACACGGGTCTGTCTCTGTGCTCACATGGAATGATGTGCAGTGCGGTCTTAGGAGGCTCTGGCTCACCAGTGGACAGATTTCATAACCTACTGTAAATATACAAATGTGAGTGATAGGGGCATTGGCCCCCAAGCTCTCTGTATCAAACAACCCTGGCCTTTCCTTCAATGCTTAATATTTCTAATAAATACTGCATAACTAAGGTTCTCAATAACACAGCTGAGGAAATAATGTATTCTACCTCATTTAATATATGATAGGAAGGGAGGGAAAAAGGAAAGAAGAGAAGGAAGGGAGGAAGGAAGGAAGGGAGAGAAGGGAAGGGAAGAGAAGATGGATGGATAACTGTAAATGGATGGAAAAACAAGGATGCATGAAGTGGATGGATGGATGGATGGATGGATAAAAGAATGGATAGATGGGTAGATAAGTGGGTGTTTGGGTATATGGGGGTGTGGCTGTGTGGATGGTAGGAAGAATGTCTGGAATTAGGTTTTGAATTAGGTGGAAAGATGATTTTAGATGGATAAATGGAAGAAAGGGTGGGTGAGTGGGTAATTGAACAGATAAGCAAGGAAGGATGATGAATAGGTTAGTAGATTGGTAAAAGAAAGGATAGATTTCAAGAACCATGGCTGAAAAGCCCCTGAGTTTCTTAACCTGAAAAAGAAAGAATCAGGCAAGGATTGGTTTTCCTGTATTGTTTGTATCCTCCAGGAAATAGGAATCTGGGAAGTGGGGTGCAGAGAATGAGGCTTTCTGTTGCAGGGGCCAGGCCTGTAAAGGGGAGGCAGAACTCTAGCAAGGAAGAATTCCACATGGCAGGTCTTTGGTGCTTGGTCTTGGCTAGCTTTTTTGTTCCTTCTCTCTACTTTTGTAGAAAGATATCTAGCTATCTGTCCCCTCCTCTTCCTATACATCTCCCAATCCCTATCTGACTGTGCATACAGCAACGTATGTGTGTGTTTATGTGTTTATGTGGACTTATGTGTTTATGTGGACTTACTAAACTTACTAGATAACATTTTGTTTCTCTCTTTTAAAGCTTAACCCCTTCCCCCACTGAGTTGAATATTTGACTTTTTTCTTCTATTCCCAACTTGAATCGGGTGTATGAGTGGTCCTTAAGCAACTTCACTTCCTGGCTTCCTAGAAGCCCCAGGCAACTCCACTCTGGGACTCGCGTGGTGAACGAGGCAGGAACCCAGTGCACTGGAAATGTCTGTTGCAAAGGCTCCTGGGCCAGGCTGCCAAGATCTCATGGGCCATCTCTGTCTCCATCTCCACTGCTAGGGTTTCTGAATGTGCCCGGGAGCCTGAGACAGAGTGTCAGAGGAGAGCTGCTGTGTAGGGAGAAATGGTTGAATGGAAAACTCGTCTTTCTTTCCCAGTAATTGTTTTGACATGAGTAGTAATTAGCCAACAGCTGACAGACCAGAACTGAAGAGAGAACAAGGGACTGGATTAGGGGCAGAATGCCCGTGCATGAGATGGGTCCTGGCTACTCTTAGCACACTGGGCTGTGAGCCTAGTGGGGCTGGGGCAGAAGCAGAAAGTGGCCTACTGAGGGTGCACTCTGAGGTCCTGAGAAGGGGAAGGAAGGGTCAGGAACACAGCTTTTGCCCTTCAGAGCAATCTTGCTTTTCAGCATCCCCAGAGAGAGAGAGACCATACCTGTTCAGGTAAAATCATGGCTGGCTTCATTTTTCATCATCAGACTGAATGGTGTGTTTTCTTTCCTTTTCTGTGGTGTCTTTATTTGATTTTTAGGCTGAGGGTCATGTTGACTCTGTGTATTGACTAGGAGACTTTCCACTTGTTTCTGGGCTGGGGGGACAGTTGCTGCCTGGGTATTCCTTTCTTGAGAATTTGAACAGATTTACCCATCATGCCAATCTGGGGCCAGAGCCCTTCGGTGGGGAGGTAGCTTTTCAGGTTTTACTCTTTGGCGGGCAATTCTTGTGTTCCTTGAAACCAATTTTTCACGATTTGATTGTCTTTGAAGGTTTGGCTTTCAATAGTACAGAATTTGGAACAAAACGTTAATGAATTTAATGAAATAACCCTGCTGTATTTATTGCACCAATGTATTTTTTCCTTGATTCTTAATTCTGACCATTTGTGGTCTCTCTTAAATTAGGCTGGCTCATCTCTTTTTCCTATTGTGGTTCCTATCCCTGCCCCCCCCATTCACCATTAATTGCTTAATTAATTAATTACTTAATTTCTGTTGATATTGCTTTCTTCTGTTTTTATTTGGTTTATTTCTAAGACCTTTTGCTAAAATCTGAGTTGAATCCATTTATTCCTGTTCTTCTGTGTTTAGTAAAAGGATAATTAAGACTATAGATTCTGCTTCCAGTATAATCAGGTTTTAACCTGTTTATACTGGTTAGCATTTCCTCTTATTGTTTTCTAGATACTGTCCAAAAATAGTCTTAGATTCTCCTTTAACCCTACATTATTTCTTAACTTTCTAAGTATTTGGGACCTGGAGATTGGGACCCTTGTATATATGTTTATTCTTTCATCATTAATCTCTATTTTTTATCTGTTTCTGGTTAAATAATGGGACTGAAGTTATTTATGACTTTCCCATTTATTGAAACTTTATATGTAGCTGAAATTTGGCCAGTTTTTAATGGTTCATGGTTTCTTGGATAAAGATGTCATCTTTGTGTATATTTAACACATCTAGCTCAGTCAGCCCTTTAAACTGAATTATTCAACTGGGCACTGGTAGCTCATAACTCTAATTCTAGCTACTTAGGAGGCTGAGATCTGAGGATCATTGTTCAAAGCCAGCAAAGGCAGGAAATTCTAAGAGACTCTTATCTCCCATTAACCAGAAAGAGAAAAAAGAAAAAAAGCTAGAAATGGAGCTGTGGCATTAGCTTTGAGCACATTAGAGCATTAGCCTTAAGCACAAAAAGCCCAGGTCCTGAGTTTAAGCCCCAGTACTGGCACAAAAGTTAATTAATTGAATTATTATTCATATCTTGTTCATCCTCATGCTTGTCTATCAACTAGTCCTAGGCCAAAAAAAAAGTACTGAGGTTTTGCATGATTGCCTTTAAACTTCCATTATATCTATTTTATCCATTTTAGTTACGTGTGACATTACATATATATAGTGGAATCATATAGTGGAATCACTAATGATGTCACAAAGCCATTCAAAAGGTTTCTGATTTTGGAGCATTGTGGATTTCAGACTTTTGAATGAGGGATGCTTAGTATATAGTTGCTGTTGCTTAGATACTTCCTCCTTTGCTTCCTGCCATGGGGCAGAGCTTTCTCAAGAAGAATTGGGGCATAGACATCAATTTGTGTGTCTCCTTCTAGTCCTGTGCATGGGGTCATGCTCTGGAATTCCTCCATGCCTGCTCTCCCAACCTCCAGTGCACAAGCCTGAGGTCCATGGGGACTAAATTTAGGGACAAAACAGCAGTCTCCTGTGCCTTCCCTTCCCATTTCTAGTGAAGTACCTTATAATACAGAGGCCCCCTTTTACAATTGTCACCTTGTCAGATCGTCGCTGTAACAAAGAAAGTGAAAAGTAGGGAAGAATTACCCCCACTTGACAGGCACAGAAGCTAAGGGGAAACATCGCCCTAACTTGGTGGAACCTTATACTGGACAAGAGCCAGGGAACAGCATGGTGCAAGCCCGGGGATAATGTCATCAGAAGCTTTCAGAGCTGGTCACTGGTGGCTCATACCTGTAATCCTAGCTAGAGCCCAGGCAGGAAAGACCATGGGACTTCTATCTTAAATGAACCAACAAAAAGCCAGAAATTAGCCGGGGATAGGTGGCTCATGCCTGTAATCCTAGCTACTCAGGAGGCCAGCCCAGGCAGAAAAGTCTGTGAGTCTCTCCAATGAACCACCAGAAAATAGGAAGTGGCGCTGGAGCTTAAGTGGTAGAGTGCATGCCTTGAACCTTGAGCTGAGAGACAGAGCCCAGGCCCAGAGTTCAAGCCCCACAACCAAAAAAAAAAAAGCCAGAAGTGGAGGAGTGGCTCAAGTTGATAAAGTACTACCCTTGAGGGAAAAAGCTAAAGTGGCAATGCCTAGGCCCTGAGTTCAAACCCTAGTAGCACAAAAGAAAAAGAAAAGGAAAGAAAAGAAGAAGAAGAGTCCGGGGGGCGGGGAGGGGCTTGAAGAGACCAAGGTGGGAGAGTTTATTCTGCAGAGAGCAGGGGGGGGGATGCTACAAATGAGGGTCTTCCCTGACCATAGGAGAGCGAGTTTACCTGAGTTCCCCAAATGGCACATGTTCCCTAGGGGTTGGACTCCTTTTTTTTTTTAACTTTCAGGAAAACTAGGACTCAGGAATCTGTATGATCACCAGTTGTGAATTGGCAGAACCAAGTTTTATGATAACTAGTAAACCCAGTGCTCTTTACTGCTCCACATCAGGAGCATCAACTTTTGAGCACTCACATGACATTCAGAAAGCTTTGGATGTGGAATCTTTGGATTAAGGATACATAACCTGTGCCAAGTCTATGCTAATATTTCATAATCCTAAGTCTCTGAAATCGGAAACCATTTTTTAATGAGCCAGGACTGTGGCTTGAACTCAGGACCTTGAGTTCTCATTTAGCTTTTTCTTTTTCCTCAGAATTTATGCTCTACCATGTGAGCTATACCTCTACCTCCAGCTTTTTGGTGGTTTAATTGGAGATAACAGTCTCATAGATTTGTCTGCCCAAGGCTGGCTTGGAACCACAATACTTAGATCTCAGCCTGGTGAGGACCTAGGATTGCAGACATGAACCACCAGCTCCTAGCTTTAGAATCGGAAACAATTTGGATCCCACGTATTTCGGAACACGGATGCTCAGCCTGGTAGCTACATCACAGTGCTCTGAGTTTGAACAGCCCAATTTGTTTACAAGGGCCACTGGACTCCAACAGCTTCTGCTTCTGCTAAACATTCCTGAGGAAAAAAACTTAACCCCTCAAGAATTTACTCCTCCTGATACTAGACATTAGGGAGAAATACCCAACCCATTTCTACCACTGCTGCTATTGATCCTTCCTCAGAGAGAGATGATGGCAGACACATGAGACCTCCCCATAGCCAGGGAGGAGGTGGGAGAAGGGACTCCCGTGGCGGAAGTCGAGGAGGCCTCTCTGGGCCCACTCAGCATCTGAGCCATGTCTCTGTCCCCGCAGTGAATGGATACCACGCATCAGGGACCCCAGCGCACCCTCCAGAGACTGCCCACATGAGTCTCCGAAAACCCACCGGTGATTCCCAGGTAAGGGGTCCCATTAGGGGAGGCAGGGGTAGAGCAGCTGTTGTGTAGGCCCAGGAAGGGCTTGTTAACAATGGGTACATCGGGAAGCCAGAGATTTCAACCCAGTTCTGCCTCAAGTAGAAAACCATTGGCTGAGTTCTAATGGGTGAGCATCAAAGGACTGTAGTAAGTTGGTTTTTCTGGAAATCCAGATTGGTTTGGAAAAAGGGCTGAGGGAGATGGGCTGACAGGAGAATCCAGGTTTCTACTGCTCAGGGTGGGAGTGCGGTAGACCTCTGTCCTTTTCTCTCCCCTTCTGGCCTACCCCTCGGCTTTCCCCTAAGCTTTCCCCAGAATGATACTGTTTTTTAATGCCAGTCCTCGAGCTTGAACTAAGGGCCTGGATACAGTCCCTGAGCATATTTTCTGGAACTCAGAGCCTAGATACTGCCTCTAGAGCTAAACCACTTGTGCCACAGCTCCATTCAGGCTTTTGGTGACAAATTAGTGATAAGAGTCTCACAGGCCTTCCTGCTTCAAACCACAATCCTCAGATCTTAGCCTCCTGAGTAGTTAGGATTACAGATGTAAGCCACTGACACCCAGACCAGAATGGTACTTGATTAAAACTTGGTCATCTCAGTGCTTAGCCTGCATAGGTATAGCTGTCAGACAGAACATCTGGGAAGATGTGCCGGCTCATTCTCCATCCTGGGTGACATTTGTGCCAGGGTGCAGGGCGGGCTATCAAGGTCTCTCCTGGATTGTGCACAAGACCACAGAGGCACATACCCGTTACATGATTAGACATGTTTCCACAATGGCGCAAGTCAGATTTCACCCCACACCATGATGCCATACCTCCTGGTTCTCCGATTATGTTCAGCACCTTCTAAGAAACTGAAGATTCATCTCACTGTGCTCACAGATGATCAAAAAGACACTTCCCATCTTGGTGGTACTGAGGTTTGAACTCAGACTTGCCCTTGCTACACAGGCATTCTGCTAGTTGGGCCACACCTCTAGCCCTTTTTGCTTTAGTTAATTTTCAGATAAGGTTTCATATATTGTCCTTGCTAGCCCAGACAGCCATCCTCTTACATAGATCTCAAAAACAACAGGTATTCCAGGCATGTACCACTCTACACAACCCAAGAAGAATTTCTTAATGAAACCACCAAACTCCACCACAGCCTTTTTTTGAAATCAAAATGCCAGCCTCCGGGGGTGATGATGCTAATGATAATAACAATGATAATTAATGATAACACTGATGATATTGCTGAGAATAATAGCTGTTTATGTAGTGGCTTTTGTGTTCCAGTCAGCAAAGACCCCTATGTTCTGTTAGTACCATCAATTAAAATGTGACATTCAACTTCAACAAAAGCAAGAGTGTCGACTTGCACATGTTTACTCGGTTATCCTCTTAGGAGACTGAGTATTGGTTGGACTCAGGTTCAGTTCAGTCAGGTCTGGCAGAGAATTTAGATATGAGTGTTAACAGGATGTATGCTGGGCCTCTTATTAAAGAGTCTAATCCAGGAACAGAACACATCGGATGTTTGTTTCAAGACTAGCAGGGACCAAACCTGAGTAATGAGGATCTAGGCTCAGTCAATAGTACACAGAGATGTGTCTGATCTCCTAGTCTCCTACTCATGTAACCGTTCCTAAGTCAGACCTGACTCAGTATGCTTCATTTTTGCCAAGTCCCAATGAACCTCTTTAAAAGCACAGCTTCTGTTGATCTATTAGAATGTCAGCTTACTGGTCATCTGACTTGAGGAGACATGTTTATGAAGACCTGAAACTCTTCTGCTAAGATTCAACCTCCACAAACCACACGGCTGCCCTGAGCATTGTAAGAAAGTGCTGGAAACAAGCTGTCCATTCATTCTTGCTTCCCTGCCGAAGCATGACCCTGAACTCCACAGAGCCGTTACTGAACCACTTTTTAAAAAATGTTGACGGGTGTAACTAACTGGCCAAATAGTGTATCATGAGTCTTTGACATGGGAAGGTCTTTTTCAGCATCTGCTTTTGGACCATGTTCAGGGATGGTGAATGGTATTCAAGGCTGCTCATTCAAGCGTCATTTATAACTGTACATTGTTGTCCAACAACGGGGGATGGGACCGTGGCCATGATGTCCATCCAGACAGTGGCATTATACAGCCATAAGAATGCATTTTTAAGCTTTATTTTCTTCAGAGCTGAAGACTGAACTCAGAGCCTTGTACTTGCTAGTCAAATGCTCTTCCATTGAGCCAAATCCCCAACCCCTCCTCCCCCAAAGAAAGTCATTCTTTAGGAGAAAATTTAATAATTTGGTGAAATGCTCATAGTTTAATATTGAGTAAGAAAAAAACAGAGACTATAGATAGCCTTATTTGGAAACAGGAGAACTCTGCTTATGTGTGAAGAAAAATGGGAGAAAAATAAGCCAGAGTATGTATGGTGGTACTAGTAGCGGGACTTGAATTCAAGGCCCAGTGTCTTGCCTTGGCTTTTTCGCTCTAAGGCTGGTGGTCTACCACTTGAGCCATAACTCCACTTCCAACTTGTTGGTCATTAATTGGAGATAAGAGTCTTATAGACATTTCCTAGCACAGACTGGCTTCACGTCATGACCCTCAGATCTCAGTCTTCTGAATAGCTAAGATTATAGGCGTGACCCACTGGTACATAGCATCATTCATGGAGGTACTATGTTTGCAATTACAGTTCTCCATCAGAGGACATTTTTGGGGTGTCTGTAGATATTGTGATCCTTACAACTAGGGAGTGCTTAACTGGAACATAGTGACTAGACACCAGGAATGTTGCTAAGTGTCTGGCAATAAACAGGACATCTCCCTGCAGCAGAGACTCACCCTGCCCGGAAAGATGAATTACATCGAGGTTGCAAAACCTTGGTCAAAGACCATGAGTAATTTTTTTTTCCTTTATTTTTTTCCTCCAGATTTTCTCAAATGAATGCATTTTGCTTTTACAGAAGATGGACAGAATTTTTTTAATTAAAATAAAAAAGCTGGAAGGGATGTACTAGTACTGGGGATTTAGAGAAGGCCAGCTCTGGAGACTAGTTCTGGAGAGACACTGGCTGCCTACACAGTAGCTCACTTGGATAATATTCTTAAATTTTTTTTCTTTTAATAAAAGTAACTTTTTAAAGTAATATTAGGAGGTGAATATATACATGTTTATTGATTCCCAGAACTGTAAGGTAAAATTTTAAAATTTTATTTTGTCTGGTACTGAGTCTGTCTCGGTTGGAACTCACGGCCTTATATTTGCTCAGATTGCTTGTTTGACTGTTATGCTACCATGACAGCCATTCCTCCAACCTGGCTTTTTGCAGGTTGTTTTAGAGATGGAGTTAGAGAAGGCTTTTATGCCCAGGCTAACTTTGAACCTCAGTCTTCTCCTCTCAGCTTTCTGGCTAGCTAAGATTGTAGGCAGAATCTACCAGCCATGGCTCAGAATATTATTCTTTTAGGCTGGTACCACTGGATAGAGAAGCTGCTCCTATCCCCACCCGCCTTTCCTAATGGTTTTAGGGCTTGAACTCAGGGCCTGCTCACTGCCCCTGAGCCTCTTTGTGCTCATGGCTAGCGCTCTGCCATTTGAGCCACAGTGGCACTTCTGGTGTTTGCGTGGTTAATTGGAGCTAAGAGTCTCATGGGGACCTTTCTGCCCAGGCTGGCTTCAAACTGTGATCCTCAGATCTCAAACTTCCTGAGTAACTAGGATTACAGACATGGGCTACTGGCACTGCCCAGCAAAGCTACTACTTTTTAACCAACCAACTTGGAGCTGTTTATCCAAAGAGGCAGAAAGGCCTAAACAGGAGTTAGGAAGGCTTGCTAATTGCATATACTATTGCCCACAAAGGATGCCTAAGGATGTGCAGTTCTTTTCCACATAGAGGATAATCTACTCACCAGCTCAGGGTGTCGATCATAGCTCATAATAATTACTTCTACTAATAATCAAAACATGAGTGGCTGAAGGAAAGACCAAGTGGGAAGTGGGAAGGAAGTGGCCACAGTGACAAAGCCCAAACTGACCGAAGATCTGGTTTAAAAGTCTACCTGCTATCTGCCCCTTGTGCAGGCTTCTCAAGAATATTTCACTAGGATGGGGACTTAATTACCCTGGACCAGGAATACCCCTACCACAATGTGTCATGGGTAGGATCAATGACTTGGGTGCCCAGCAGCTCCTAGGAGTCCTGGCCCCTCCTCCCAATCCCTGGGAGACCTGGATAGATGGGCAAGGGTAGTGGAGGTCTGGCACCACCCAGTGGACATTTATCTGGTAGTGCAGCCCTCAGGCCGACTGCCACCTCAGTACCAGACAAATGCAACACTTCTGATTGGTGAAAGGTTTTGCAGAAGCAGGTCCTAACAGGTGCCCTTCCTTCCTATCTGTGCCTAGATCTTTTTGTGATCTTTCTTCAGTGGTTCCGGTTCCCCCATGAACTTTCCCTGGAAGATACAGGAGAGAGGAAAGGGAACAGGACTCAGGGCTCAGAGACCTATGAGATCCATCGAAGAATGGAGTTCAAGATGGAGAAAGCGCTAGGCTGCTGGATCTCTGCCATTTGTGCTCCCTTAATTGAATACCACTTCCTTGCTAGGCACTTGGACCTAGAAAGACACAGCCCTTGCCTTGGTGGAGGTTTATAACAGATGTGGAAGAGACATTAAATACATGATCATAATTCTGTCAGAGAGGAGGGGTGCAGAGATTATGTAATAAGTGCCAGCCTGGAGGTGGTGGTGGTGATAGAAATGTTAGAAATTGCTTTAAAAAGTGAGGGAGAGGGGCAGTAGTTGGGGTAGAATAGCAGGAAGGTGAGAGATGTTTCTAAGAATCCACAAAGACCATAGCCATGTCTGTGGTTTGCATCATTCACTGGTGACTGAGGGCAGAGAGAAGGCCAGGGGTTGGGGAAAGTCTGCGGTGGGCCTGTCATGAGGAGCTCAGGTTTTGTATGAACAGAATTAGGGAGCCATGGAAAGACTTTCTATAGGATCCCATCCTCTAAAGAATGCCTCTTGGGGGTAGAGAGAGGGAACAGGTTTCCCAGCTAGAGTCAAGATACCAAACTGGGAGAGGATTTTAAAAATAGAGGAACGAGGTGCCGGTACGTCATGCCTGTAATCCTCAACTACTCAAGAGGCTGAAATCTAAGAACTGTGGTTCAAAGCCTGCCCAAGCCAGAAAGTCCATGATACTCTTATTTCCAATTGACCAGCAAAAAGCTGGAAATGGAGGTATGACTCAATTGGTAAAGCAGCAACCTTGAGAGCAAAAGCTAAGAGAAAATCCACATACCCTGAGTTTAAGCCCCAGTATGGGTACACCCACACCCATCCATACCCCACACACACATGTACACACACACACAGATTAACTATCACAAATATATCAAAGGAGAAACACCATTATCACATTTAAGAAAAATATAAAATCAATAATATCACTATATGTGTGTATAGATCTATTACATATAGATATATAATATATACATATATATATATATCAATATTCAAATTCCTCAGTTTTCTCTGGGATATCTGCTGTTTCTCGCTAACCCTGCCCGTCTCAAAAAAAAACCAACTTTATGAGACATAACTTATAATATTATGCAATCCACGTACAGTTTGGTCGGTTTTTAAAATGATGTTCATAGAGTTTTATAATCATCGTCCCAGTGAATTTTAGAACATTTTTCTCTCTCAAAAGGGATCACCCCAAACCTCAGGCACCCGCTAGTCTATTCTCTGTCGGTGGATTTTCTTCTTCTAGACATTTCATGTTAGGAAATCGTGCCGTGTGTGGTCCTTTGTGACCAGCTGCTCCATTCACACTGTTTTTGATGTCTGGGTTAGCACGTAGATCAATCCCTTATTTCTCTGGCTTGGAAATGTCCCATTGTAAATAGACAATTTTATGTGTGTGTTATCTCTCTAATCCTCTTCATCTAGGTACTTTCTGAAGTGTGCAGGTCAGTTGTCTTGTGGGATGAATGACCTACATTCTTGGTCTACTTGTCACGTAGGCTTGCTTGGGTAGAGGCTGGGTGGTTCGGTGAGATCTCTGTATGGGTCTTTTGGAGGTGGTTCTTACGATCTCCTGATCGTAAGAAAGTGTACACCAGTTTTGTATCCCACCAGAAGGCTAAATTTGAGCTCTTGGTCAGCATGGCTATTGCTGGATTTCTCTTTGCCGGGCTCTGATTTGTTGGTGCTCTTCAGGGTACCAGCGAGATATTTATGAATCACTCCTCTTTCCTAACCGTTTTCCCTTCGATACTTCAAACATCGGTGGTGATTTTAGCCCAGATTCCTCTTGACATTGGCGCTTCGACATGGCAAATTTCTAATTCCTGGTACATTGTGTTGTTGTTGGCATCTCCTGAGATGAAATGTTCCCCCTTTAGATCTGTTCAGTCATGGTCCTTACTCATCCTGGTACTCAGATTGTCCCAAATGTGACCTGCAAGAGCTCCTTTAAGAGCTGGCTTCTGCTTCCTTGCAGTATATCGTCATCCCTTCTTGCATGTTTCCTTCCTTCCGGTGAAATAAGATGTCCTAGGTCTACAGTGGATTGGAATTAGTCATTTTCCAAGGAGCCAAGGCCTGGGTTCCTATTAGTAGGGAATAGTATTTGGGGAAGAAAAAATGTAATTAGTAAATGTCGCTGATGAGCTGGAATGTCATTCTTTCTAAGTCCTTTCAGAGAAGCACTGTAGGGGTGTGTGTGCGTGGGGGGTGGTTGTGCATATATGTGAAGCACATATACTTAGATGAAGTTGGATAATAGCACACAACTCAGCAGCAGCAAAGACAAGAAGAGCCTGTAATCACAATACACAGGTATCGGTGGCTCATGCTTGTAATCCTAACTACTCAGAAAGCTAAGTCTTGGAGGATTGAGGTTCAAGGCCCACCTTGGCAGAGAGGTTTCTACTACTCTGTCTCTAACTAGCAAAAAGCTGCACTCGAGACATGGCTTGAGTGGTGGAGCACCAGCTGTGAGCAAGCCAGCCAAGAAAGTTCAAGGCCCTGAGGTCAAACCTTTATCCTGGCAAAAAAGAAAGACAAAAGATGAGAGGGAGAGAGGGAAGGAAGGAAATGAAAAGGGAAAAGCAAAATACACATGTACCAGGACAGAGATGAGGAGTGAGTGGAGGTACACTCAATGGATGATATGCATTCCTGTCCTGGCCCAGGAGGAAGTGTGACCTCCCCATCCACTCTCAATACACCATCCTGTACACGGCTTTCCTGAAGCAAACGCTCATAAGTGATGGAAGTCTTTTTTGCCCCCCTCCTGCAGATACCCCTGAGAAACAAGCTAGCATCCCAGATCTCAAGCTTGGAGAAATGAGGAATGAAGTATGTAGACTTAGACTCCAGTATCCCATTCCTCAATTTCCTAGCCTATGACCTTGGGCCATTGTATCTTCTGTAAGCATCAGTTTCACAGTCTGCAAACTAGACAGGAGGCCATGAGCCTTACTGAGGCTGTAGGGATGAAGGGAGAGTAAATATGGCAAATGCTCAGCCGCCTGTACCTGCCCGCCATACAACAGCCTTCCATGGATGGGGGCTCTTGCTGTGTGTCTCCATTCTTGGTAGTCTTCCTCCTCGGCCTTGTCATCCAAACAACAGCTGTATGTAAACTGAAATACCACAGCAAGTGCTGACCATCACAAGCCACGTCCCCTCCCAACCCCTCCCTTACTGGGGTAGGCTCACCATGGCCTTGACAATGTAATGTTTGTCCGTGGCAAGCTACAGTGTCTACCCTTCTTCCTGCCATGTATATACTTGACTAGTGTTTGTGCATGGGAAGCTCCAGGTGTCAAGGAAGAGAACTAATAGCCTGGGAGGGTACTAAAGGGGTCAGATGGGTGCCCTGCTACTTGAAACATATCCATGGAAACCACAGTGAGCCAAAGCCTGATGTCACCCCAAAGCCTGCTAGGGTGCCCAGAGGATTTGATACAAGCAGATGCTCCTTGGTTTAACAAAAAGATACTAGGGGAGGGGACAGATGGCTCATACCTGTAATGCTTGCTACTCAGGAGGCTGAAAACTGAGAATTGAAGTTCAAAGCCAGCCTGGGCAGAAAAATGAGAGACTCCCATCTCTGGTTAACTAGCAAAAAGCCAGAAGTGGAACTGTGGCTCAAATGGTAGAGTACCAGCTTTGAGTGAAAAAGCTCAGGGACAGTGCCCAGGCCCTGAGTTCAAGCCCCAATACCAACATTTATAGATGGTGACAGTAAGACAATAAGACAGCAAGTTAGCATCCTGGGTTTCAGAGCTCTCAATATAGTTTGTTGTCCATAACATTGACGGCCCTTTAGCTTTCCTTGTGCTAAGCTTGTCTTGGTGTAAAGACATTTGTTTCCATGAGTTGATGTTGTTTACCAGATACAAGAAGACTGGAAGGGATTGCCTCAAACTGTTTTGCTTCATTTTCTGGAGGGGTTGGGGGAAGGGAGCTCCTGAGCCAGGGGCTGTCCCCTCTGCTGCTATTCAACCTGCCTGGTGGTCCAGGCCTGTGCTGGCCTGGGGCAGGGGTGAGGGGCTGCTGGTCTCCTGAAGTTCATGGGGGAAGCCCCTTCCTACTTCTTCCGGTCTTTATAAAGTGACAGCTACTTGCTTACACTCCAGTGCAGTGACAGGCCCAAAACACACGCAACAGTTACCCCTGATGCTTTAGGGGTCCGTGTGTGGCTCAGGACCCGGGACCTCTGTTATTGACTCTTGAACAGAACTGCTAATTGACCAGTGTAGATTGGAACCAAACCTTGTCTTTAAGATGTGGTCATTTCAGATGGCCCATCCTTGCATTTCTCCACCTGTTCAACCTTAGGACTTTTAGCAAGTATCTGTGAACAAGTGGGCTTCAAGTTAGTTAGGATTCTGGCTTTCTGTAGCTCTCTCTTGTCTTTCTTTTTGTACTAGTACTGGGACTTGAACTCAGGGCCTTGGCACTGCCCCTTAGCTTTTACACTCAAGGCTGGTACTCTACCCTTTGAGCCATATCTACACTTCTGGCTCTTTGCTGGTTCATTGGAGATAAAGCTCACAGACTTTCTATCCTTGTCTGGCTTTGAACCAGGATCTTCAGATCTCAGCCTCCTGAGAAGCGAGGACTTACATGTATAAGCCACCGGCCCTCTTCGGGGACTCTGATTCTCTTGCTACCAACAAAACAAGACAGGGGGGAAAACATCCAGAGATGTGGAGTCCTATGCTTGCTTTGGCTCCAGGGGCTGATAGAGCAGTGCCTTAAGCATGCTCTCTGTGATTTGATATTTTGGACTTGGAGGGTTCAGAATAAGATGGACATGTGTTGAGTCCTCAGTGCCAGGAGGCGGTGACCTGCAGTCAGCCTTAACTCTCAACTCCCCTGTGGATCCCATTGCGCAGGCAATGAGCCACAGAACTGTTCACCAGCAGAGGGCAGTGGAGGGGTTAACTCCCCAAATCATAGACCGAGAGAAGAGGAGGGAGAGACCTGGTTTGGAGCAATTCTCTGAGAGCACAAACCTTCCTCCACTCTGCCGAGCTAGGGAGCAGAGGGGGCTCAGGGATGCTCTTGCTTGTCCTGCTCCAGGATATGGTGACTTAGGAGTTGACAAGCGGAGGTCCCCGAACTCCTCGCCACATCCTCCCTACCCACCCACCCTGCCCTCAGTGCAGAGATTTTCACCAACCCCTCCCGACTTGGGGAACCTGAATGGAGGGAGGGGGACATAACTACATGCATATTCAATATGGAGAACAGCTTCGATGATATTTCTCACCTCTCTCTCCAGAACCTGGGCTCCTCATCACCAGGCAAAAAGCACAGTAAGGAAAACACCATCACTGTAAGTACCTTACAGGGGATGCTCCCAAGGTTGGGTGGCAAATTGGGGCAAACTGGGGCTACGGCTGTGGACCGTTGCCATGGTAACATGGGGCACCAAGCAGAAGGGACGCCCAGCCTGGAAATGGGAAAGGTGCAAAGCTTAGATGTGACTGAAGTTCCCCAGCCCCTCCCTCTCCCTCTCCTTCTCCCTCCCGGTCCCTTTCTCATTTCACCTCCCTCCACATCCTCCTTGAAGAAAGAACTGTGGGGAAGGGGGGGGGCGGTGGAAGCCATTTTTGTCAGGCAGGCAGGGGAAGGCACATGTGTCAGAACGGGTTGAAGAAGGTGGACCGTGCTGTGCACAAGTAGGTGACGTGTAAATTACAGCACGGCAGGGTTGCTTTTGTGCGGGGGAAACTTCTGGAAGCTGTCAAAGTTAAAAAGCAAGAGATGGCACCCTAAGAATAGAGTTCCTGGGAGTTCCCAGTGAGATGCAGTCAGCTCCTGCTTAGAGCCACCAGTCCACAAAGGAGCCCGTTCCCCCCCCCTCCTCTCTCAGCCCTCTGCTAGACTCGGGGTGGGGGCTGGCCATCAGTGCCCCCTCCTCATAGAGGAAGGAACTGTCCATTACCCAACATTTAGACTTAAGAAGTAGAGTCCTGGGTTTGCTATGTCTGCCCAAGCATGGGAGAGTTGGACAGGGAATGTCCATGATTCTATAGTGGGGAAATATCCTGGGCTCCATCTCCTACCATGCTGAGCCCTTCCAGCCACCTCCATGGACATTAAATCAGGAGCAGGTGCCTTTCCCTGGCTCATCCAAGCTGACAAAGTCTAACAACAGCCAGCACCGCTGGGTGCCTCTCTCTCCTATAAGCAGAGGTCCATGTGGCTCCCTTTGCCCCCTGGCTGGGTCAGGTGTTACTAGGATCAATACAGTACCAGGGTTGCTTGTCTCGTTTCTGAGGCTAGAATGTTGCAGGGAACTACTGAGCTGCTCAACCTTTGGGTCCAGTACCTCCGCTTTGCCTGCCTCACTGTCCACATCTGTGAAATGGAGAGTGGGCAGGGGTAGCTCCTGTGAGGAGGGGATGGTTGAGGACCCAATGGCTCTGTGTGGGTAAAGCACTTAGAATAGAGCCTGGCACATAGGAAGTGCTGGGTACCTGCCAGAGTGATTCTCACTCTGTTTGCCAACCAAGAAACTGAGGCACAGAACAGTACTGTGCCAAGGTCACCCAGCCAAGAAGCATCAGGATCAAAACCTAAGCTCTGGCTGGGTTTCAATGGCTTGTGCTTATAATTCTAACTACTCAAGAGACAGAGATCAAAAGGAATTCTGATTGAGGGCAGCCCAGACCAAAGTTCTTGAGACACCCCCCCCGCCACCATGTCAACAAGTAGGTGGGCATGTACCTATCACCCATAGCTACAGCAAGAAGCTTAAATAGGAGGATCTAGGTCCAGACTGGCCGGGGGCGGGGGGGTGGGTGAGGAGGGAGAGACCATGTTATCTTAAATGCCTGACACTAGTGGCTCACACCTGTAATTGTAGCTACTCAGGAGCTAAGATCTGAGGATAGAGGTTCTAAGCCAGCCTGGGCAGGAAAGTCCTTGAAACTCTTCAATTAATCACAGAAAAAGCTGGAAGTGGTGCTGTAGCTCAAGTGGTAGCATAAAAGGAGCACCCAGGCCAAGTTCAAGGTCCAGGACCCACAAAAGAAAGAAAGGAAGGAAGGAAGGAAGAAATAAAGAAAGAAAGGAAAGAAGGGAGGGAGGGAGGGAAGGAAGGAAGGAAGGAAAGAAGGAAGGGAAAAAAAAGAAAAAGTAAAAAGTAACCGAGCAAAAGTGGCTGGAGGTATGGCTGAAGCCTTGAGTCCAAACACTAATACTGCAAGGAAAAGAAAAGTCCCCAAAGAGAAGAATGGAAGAGTGATACATTTACTAGCAATGTAGAAGAGAGACAAACAGGAAAAATGAAGTTTTCCTTGGAACAGCAAGTCTTGTTCTCACCTTGGTGCCTTCCCTGTTCCGTTTTCTGCTCCTCTTGAGATGGTCTGCAACATGAGGTTGATATTCCAAGATACTGGTTTTAAAACGTAGGTACAACTGTGGTGATACTTGCCTGTAATCCCAGAGACAGAGATAGGAGGATCAAGGTGCAAGGCTGGTCACAGGCAAAAGTGTAAGACTCTCTCTGAAAAACAATGAAAGCAGAAAGGGCAGGAGGCATTGCTCAAATCATAGAGTACTTATCTAGCAAGCACAAACTCCAGTACTGCCCAAATAAAAGATATCAAATCAAATCAAATGTAATAAAGAATACAGATTCCTGAAAGATAGCTACAGTTCAGTCTTTCTGGGAATAGAATATAAAAAATTTGCATTTTTACCAAATGCTTCTAGCAGTCTGAAAATAAACACTTGTGCCTTGGAAAATTGTTGCCAGGGAAACTGAGCAAAAAAGAGGGACCGGTTGTAGATCACAGAGCAAACCAGAAGCCCTTGAACTCGAGTCTCCTTCCAGCTGCCAGTCCAGGACACCTGGCCTCCATGGCCCCGTATGTCTCCAGGCTAAACATTTCTGTACCACTGCTCTTTTCCTCCACCCACTTTCCTGACACCTAAGCCCTGGTTCTGGATTCAGATCCTCCAGAGCTCAGGGTTTCCTCAGGAAGAGGGGGCAGCCTGTTCCCAAGAGACAGGAATACGAACTTCCATCTCCCGGGGGAGATGAAGCATACAACTTCCTATCTGGTCCACGAGCACACGCGTCCCGACCTGAACAGCATGGGGCGTGTCTACACTGAGGAGTGGGGAGGGGGCTCAGTTCTGAAGCGTGGTGGCCTGGAACTGGCTTGGGAGGGCAGACACATGGGTGTCCTGGCAGCAAGGGCAGCGCTGGCAGCTTTGGCTGGCTCTCTTCCCTGGCTGTCATTACCGGTGCTGAGCCAGGCTGGCAGATGGAGCTGGCTTGTTTGATTGAGAGTGACGGGTGCTAATGGCCACTCATTGCCCTCAGCATCTAGAAGACTCCAGGAAAGAAGACAGTAAAGCTACATGCCCACACTCCCTCCTAGAAGGGGGAACTTGGGGATCCTTCAGATCCTCAGGCAGGGCACCCTGGGTAGAGCTGGGCACAGGATGAAATGAGACAGTTCTTTCTTCTGTCCTCACTTGCTAGCTTTTCCTCTCACCCACCCTCCTGAACCAGGAGGAAGATCCAGGACCACTGGGTTGTCAAACCAGGCTCCGCATTGCAAGCAGGTAGCACAGACAAGTGGCAGAGGAGACTACCCCACCCCCACCCCTAAGCCCGCCTTGGGCTGGGCTAGGACAGGAGCAGGGCACCCTATCTTCCCACATCAGCCCCTTGGGAGGGGTTCAGTAGCTCTAACATCATGGATGCGTATCTCAATGCCTGCATCCATCTGTGCCCTCGGTACCCCAAAATGTAGGGGGAGCATCTCCTGTGGTCTTGGCTGCTCCTGTATAGAATGGGCCTGATAGAGCATCTTCTGCATGCTGGGTACCCCAGAAGGGGCAGGGTACATGTCTCTCTGCATGATCCTGAGTCTCGGGAGCTCAGGGAAGAGAGGGCAGGAGTGGTCACCAGAACTCCTCTACCCCAACAGGCCCCTCTCTTGTTTTCCGCTGAACACTGAGCCCCCTGCCTTGTGGTTAAGGGCTTAGCTTTGCTGTTAGCCTGATCTAGATTTAAATACTCTACTTCTGTGATCTTTCCTCATATCAAATGAGGCTGAGATTTTCAGCCTATCCTAAGCGTGCATGCCAAGCTCAGGGCCATGGACCCTGAAGAAGTGCTCTCCAGGAACCCATCAGTGAGATCCAGTTCTCCACATTCCCGCCAGGGGGCAGAGAGTTTGGATTCCAGGAGATCCCTTTGGACTATGTGCCAGCAAGAAGTCTCCAAAACCAGAGTTGACAGAGGTGGTAACTGTCACCTGGCGGGGAGGTAGGGGGGCTGTCTAGGCAATCTAATTCCCCTCCTGTCTAGCCAGCTCTCCTTAGGTAAGGTGGCAGGGCCACTCCAGGGACCCTACCCAGGGACTAGAAGTCCCTGAGACAGGGATCTCTTGGAAGGTCATGCAGGAGCTTAAGAGCAGAGCTCTGGGGCTCTATTGGACATTAAGCCTTCTTCAGGTGGTACCCTGCCCCCACTGCATGGTTCCTGGATTCCCAGCATCTCCTGGGAGCCCTGGCTCCATCCAGACCTCCTGAATCATCCAGAGTGCTTCACATAACCTCCAAGTGACTCCAAGGCCCATATCAGCCCAACTTCAGGCCAGAGGACAGGCCAGGTGGGATTTAGGAGGGTCCCTGCTGTTTGCCCTGGTGCCGTCTCTCCTGAAGTTAGAGGGGTCTATCTTCGAAGACATGCTAGGCTGGGCAGAAGTATCCATTCTCTGAGGACAGGTCACCACCTCTCATGGTCAGGCTCTTCCTCTGCGGGAAGATGTTTTACCCATGAAAGACCAAGGCCAAGGAAATTCTGGGTGAGGGGAAAAATGGCTGAAGAGAGGGAAGGGTAGAGCATGAGGCATCTTAGGAGGCCATAATAACCTGTTTCTGAGCAGTCAGCACTGCATTCTCAGATTCTGTGCCTGTGTTCAGCCATTGAACATTGAAATCATTTTCTTAAATTGTGTCTGTACTGAGCATGCACAGACTTCTTGTTATTCCCTAAGCAATATAACAGGTATGTGGATAGTGTCTACATTGTGTTAGGTATAAGAAGACTAGAAATGAGCCAGGTGCTAGGTGCACATGCCTATAGTCCTAACTACTCAAGAGGCTGAGATCTAAGGATCCTGGTTTGAAGCCAGCTTGGACAGAAAACTCCCTGAGACTCTTATTCCAGTCAAACACCAAAAATCTAGAATGATGATATGGTTCAAGTGATAGAGAGTCATCCTTGAGTGAAAAAACTAAAGCCCAGGGCCTGAGTTCAAGCCCCAGTACTGGTGCATGTGCACACACACACACACACAATTTAGAAATGGCTGTGTAGGTTCTATGCAAACAAGATCATTTCATCTAAGGAATTTGAACATCCAAGAAGTTTGCTATCTGCAGAGTCCTGGAACCCCTCCCCACCTCACATTGAGGGATAAACTGTACTTTCGTTCTGCTATTTTTATGTTCCTTTTTTTTTTTTGGAGGGAGAGAGGTTGAAATAGTATCTCCTTTTGCTGGCCTGAACCTTACTATGTAGTCCAAGTTGCTTTTGAGCTCATGACCTTCTTCCTCAGCTTCCCAAGAGCTTGGATTATAGGCACGCATCTCTATGTCCCATCAGTCAGTATACTTTAAGATCAAAGTTCTTGTAGCATTAAATTTGATTGCAGTTTCCATGAGCTTCCATGATGAGAGCCAAGTAAAGATGATCTGTGGTCACCATTACTGGTTGTGACAGGAGTGAATGGAATAGGAAATAAGGGATATACGAAAGCCCAGAAAACATCTCTTGTTTCTATGATTGCCCCCAAGCAAGCCAACCTTGAACCCTTAATCAGAGATCACATCCAAAGGCCTTTGGGCCTGACTCTGCAGACAGAGGAGTTTGCTAGTTTATTATTATTATTACCTTTACTATTCCGTGAAACCTTTAATTATTTACCAACACTGAAAATAGTGAGAGAGTTTACATTAAAAACCCAGCTTTTAGCTTGTCTCAAAGCACTACAAGTGATTTAAGTGGGTGAGTGTACCCCTGGGGGGAAAAAAATCTCTGCAGACCTCAGCTCTGCTCTCTCCCATCTGACATCCCCTTGGTTCAGCCAGTTTTCAGGCTGCAAGGAGAGGTTACAGGAACATCTGGGCTTTGAATCTACTTCCATGCTGCACCGACAGCCAGGAGCACCTCAAATAGGCTAGTGCAAAACATGACAAAGGCTACCTAGCACTCCCTGTTGGCAAGGGCCAGCCCCAAGTATGGGACTTCACTATGATTGTTAAGCTGTTGTAGTTCACATAATGTGGATCTTAATATGGATCGTGACATAACCTTTTGGCTATGATCTTCATCCACCTCTGGATCATTCCTATCCCTGATTCTGTTGTTCCTCATCTTGGGAACAAATCAGGCCATCAGCTTCCAGAAATATTCTATACAGAAAAAAAATCAAATGGATGTGTATTTAGTCCTACTTTATGTATGCAAATGAAACATACTCTAATAATTTTACTCAATGCCTCGCTTCTTCCCCCTCCCCCTTTCCCGACCTTCTTAACAGTTCATCCTGATATATCAATGGTTAAGAGATACATCTGTAAGCTGGGCACCAGTGGTTCCCGGTGGCCTGTAATCCTAGCTACTCAGGAGGCTGAGATCTGAGGATCATAGTTCAAAGCCAGCCCGGGCAGGAAAGGCCATGAAACTCTTATCTCCAATAAACCACCAGAAAACCAGAAGTGGTGCTGTAGCTCAAGTGTAGAGCACTAGCCTTGAGCTGAAGAGCTGAGGGACAGCGCTCAGGCCCAGAGTTCAAGCCCCATGACCAACACACAAAAAATAAATGGAATTAAAAAAAAGAAGAAGTGCATCTGTAGCCTGATGAAGCGGCTCACACCTGTAGTTCTAGCAATTTTGGAGGCCCAGATCAGGGAGATCATGATTCAAAACAAGCCCAGGCAAAAAATGTCATGAGATCCCTATGTCAATGGGAAAAACTGGGTGTGGTGCATATGCCTGTCATCCCAGATATGAGGGAAGTATAAATTGGAGGATCATGGTCCAAGCCTATCCAGGCAAAAAGCAAGACCCTGCTTGAAAAATAGAACAAAATCAGCCAGAAGTGTGGCTCAAGGGGTAGGACTCCTACCTAGCATGTAGACATTTGTCTCATTTTTGTCTATCCATTCTCTTCACAGAAAGTGGGGTCCTGGTCCAGCCTTTTGATGACATAATATTGCTGTAGTGCAGACATGCACACATGTCCCTACACTTTGGAGCAACTGTATCTCTAGTATAGGCTTTTACAAGTACAGATGCTGAAAACCAGGCATGGGGTACTCTCAACTATAATCCTAGCTACTCAGGAGGCTGAGATCTGAGGATCAAGGTTCAAAGCCAGCCAGGGCAGGAAAGTCCATAAGACTCTTATCTCCAATTAACCATCAAAAAGCTGGAAATGGCTCTGTGATACAAAGTAGTAGAGTACTGGCCTCGAGCACAAAAGCTCAGGGAAAGAGCCCAGACCCTAAGTTCAAGCCGCAAGACTGGCACACACACACACACACACACACACACACACACAACACACAGTGCACTTGCTGAGTCAAGGATCCAGATGTTTGCAATTGTGACAGAGCCCCATCTAGGGGGTCAAGTGAGTTGTGAATGCCTATGGCCTCCAATTTGCAATGCTGGTCTTTAGAGTATGTCCCATGAGGATGAACACAAGAAAACCTCCCTTGTACTCTGTTTCCAGAGGCAGGGACTTTCTCATTTCTATTCCTCCAGGAGAAGTATTTCCTCTCTGCTCCTTGCCTTGCAGGTCAACTGTGTGACCTTCCCTCATCCAGACACCATGCCTGAACAGCAGCTTCTGAAGCCAACAGAGTGGAGCTATTGTGACTACTTTTGGGTAGGTGCTATGTCAGGTTCCCCCTCCTCAGGGTCCCGATGGTCAGAAGTGCACATCTGGGAGACACTATGGTGGAAGGAAGTCTTTCTTGCTGATACCTGGAGGTAGAGTCCCCCTGTTCTGAATCATAGAGTGATAATGAAAAACTACAGAGCTGGGCATGGTAGTTCATGACTATAATTTCAGCTATGCAGGAGGATCATGGTTCAAAGTCATCCTGGACAAAGAAAGAAAAAGTTAGTGAAACCGCCATTTGAACAAGCGAGCTTGGTGTTGTGTCATATTTCTACAATCCCAGCAACCTAGGATACATTGGTAGGAGGTTTGTGGTCCAAGCTCAAGCCCGGGTAAAAACAGAAGACCTTATGTGAAAAATAGGCAGAAGTGTGTCTTTCTTTTCTACCAATTGCTTCCACATTAGAAGACACCCAAAGATGCTTAGTGCCCCACCACCACTAGGGCCCACCCAAGTCTCTCCCACTGTGAGACTATTCATAGGGCATGGAGTGCAGACAGGGCCGGAGAGGGCAACAAAGGGACAGTGAGCAGGGCTGGCAATGCATATGGCCTTGCAGGATCTGGGGGCTTAAGCTGTTTGCAATAGGGAGGAGCAGAGCTTTGGGAGGAAATCCGAGGTGATGTGGTTTCACCTGGGCTGTGCAGGCTCATGGAGACTGGGAGAGGTATGTGCAGGTCTCACTCCGCCCTGTGCTATTGTAGCCGAGCACTTGAGGCTGCGCCATCTATGGAGAACAGAGGGTTTATCTGGCTTGTGGCTTCTGGAGCCCAGGATTAAGACCCAGTACATGGGAGCTGGAGCCCCAGGTGAGACCATCCTTCACCAGCTGGGAGCCGGGTGGCTGGTAAATCTGCATCCTCTGCACTTTATTCTCCCAGCTCCAGACACTCCCCTGGCTGATCACTTCTGCTTCCATTTCCTTCCAGGCTGATAAGAAGGATCCCCAAGGCAATGGCACTGTGGCTGGATTTGAACTGCTGCTCCAGAAGCAACTGAAAGGGAAACAGATGCAGAAGGAGATGTCAGAGTTCATCCGGGAAAGGTGACGCCCAAGCCCGCTAAGGCCCCTGACTAGGCCTCTGACCATAAACCCCAAAGGGGAATGTTACCTTGTAACTCAGCTTCATGTGAGTTGCTGGGGAGAGAAGCATCCCCATAACCTCATTCTGATCTTCACGGGTTTATCTAAAGACAGATGAGGAAAACACAAATCCAGCCCAGTGAAAACAAGGGAGCTACAGAAGGAAGTCCTTTCTCCGTCTTCCCTTCTGTACCACAAACTCACACACCTGCGTGTGTGTTGCTCACAACCTGCCAAAAGCTAGTATCCCAGGTATACTGGACATAGTTACAACTAGTTACAACAAATGGCAACATCTTTTTCACAGATTTTTCACAGATTTTTTTCATGTGTGTGGGGGTGGGGGAGGTGTAGGTTCTAGGGCTTGAACTCAGGGTTTGAGTTCACTTCACTTTTTCATTCAAGGCTAGTATTCTATCACTTGAGCCAGAGCTCCACTTCTGGCTTTTTTTTAAGCAGTTAATTAGAGAGAAGACTCTCACGGTTTTTCCTGCCCAGGCTGGCTTTGAACTGCAATCCTCAATCTCCTGAGTAGCTAGGCTTACAGGTGTGAGCCACCAGCACCCGGCTCTGTGCTCTTATCAATGTTGGGTTAGCCAGTGCCTGGGAGCTGCTATTTTAGGACACTCAGGCCCTTGCAGAGGAAATGCAGATTCCTGGAACTTTTCTCAGCGCACCCTGGAGTCCTCGTGGGAAGGGCCTCCAAGCCCAGGATTGGTGAGCGTCTAGGAGTATATAGATTGTAGTGTAACTGGCCAAGGATGCAGGCCTGCTGCCTGGGCTCAGGGAAATGGGGCAGGAGATGGAAGAGATACGGGCTGGCCACCCACGGGAGGCTGAGGAGGCAAATGGCACCTGCCCCTCCTGTGCCAGCATGTGCAATCGCCATAGCGACATGGCAAGATCTGGCTTCCAGAGGTTTCAGTCACAGTATGAAGTTGCAGCTAGCAATCCTCATAAATCCCGGTGAGGGAAGGTGGAGAAGAAGCCACAGGGGTGAGAGAGGAATGGGAACTAAATGAGTATGAGACTTGGAAGGCTTGATAGAGCAGCCAGAGATGGAGGTTAGGACTGAGCAGGGTGAGAGGTAACAGATCATGAATGTCTGTACCTAATTATGCCATTATCATTACACAAAATGGGCCCACTAGACTTGTTATCCATCCCCTCAACCCTAAGCATCCAGGAAGCCAATACTGCTGCCCAGGGTCTCTGGGCTTTTCTGATCACCATCAGAAAGCACAGAGGGGCTGTGGGGGTCCCAGCTCTGTGTGCTCTGGGGGTCCCAGCTCTGTGGCTACCTCTGGTGGTCATCAACACAGCCCCTCTGCCCCCACCTGGGCCCAAAGGAGTACTTAGGTGGTACCTGATGCCTTTGACACCCCATACTTGGCACACAAGTCCTGGAGGCTAGCCTTAAACTTGTGTCAAGTGCTCTCTTCTCCAGGGAAATAGAATGGAGCTGCATCTCTGGACCCTGTCTGGTTTCCATGGAAACACATGTGCCCTTGACAGTTCCTGGCAATTAGAGACACTGGGGGTGGGAGGCCCTAGAGAGATGCTCTGTTCTTGTTTCCAAGGGACCAACAGCCATCAGGGAGGGCCTGAACTTAGGTTCAGGGGCAAGAACAAAAGGGGGAACACACAGGTTGCCCCTGATGGCCCATCACAAGTTGCAGTCATTTGTATACAGGTTCTCATGGGTTCAGCCATGGGCTAGGTGCAGTGTGAGCAGCATATTACATCTTCACAGTCCTAGGGACAAGAGAACTGTCCTGTTGTTCAGATGAAGAAATAAGTTCCACTGAGTCAATATGACTGTGCTGGGCAGAGAGATGAGACCAGGCCCTCTCCAAACCCCACAGTCTAGTAGGTGTGTTATGTTCCCTTATACAGCTGACACATAGCAAGATGGCAGGTCCCGTCCATCTATCAGGGAGCTGACATGTTGGGTTTTCTCCCTTTGCAGGATAAAGATTGAAGAGGAATATGCAAAGAACTTGGCCAAACTCTCCCAGAACTCCCTGGCTGCACAGGAGGAAGGGTGAGTTGGGAGGAGAGCGAGGATACTTGGGAGGATCAGGGGATGTGGAGAAGGTGGGTGGGGCTCCGCATTCACCCATCACTCCTCTTGGCTTGGTGAGTCTCCCAACGCCTGGCTGGAGATGGCGTCCATGTGTGACTTAGTGACTTGTAGCTGGAAGGAACTCATGACATAAGATGCCACTGTGGTTCAAAGTTGGAGACCCTTGTTCAAGACAGGTAGCCAGGGGTTGTGGCTCAGGGCTTGGACAGCCACGGTCCAGAAAAGCAAGGTGCCTCTAGGCATCCAGGCCTCCTACTAGGTGCTAGAAGCTTCCAGAACCCTCCCCCCCCGCACCCCGCCCGGCACTGTGCCCTGACATCTGGATATACACCCCTGTTCCTCTTTCTCAGAGAGCAGGCTGGGAAGAAACTAGGTCTCAGGGGATTGTCTGTGAATGTGTGTGTGTGTATGTTTGCATGTGCGCGTGTGCATGCACACATGTCCCCATGTACTGGTACTAGGGCTTGAACTCAGGGCCTGGGCACTGTCCCTTAGCTTTGTTGCTGAAAGCTTCCAACTCTACCACTTGAATCACAGCTCCACTTCTGCCTTTTGGTAGCTAATTAGAATAAGAGTCTCATGGATTTTTGTTTTAGTCACATAGTATATAATTTATATGAAATATCCAGAGTAAGCAAAGCCATAGGGACAGAAGGGTTACCAGAGCCCAGAGGAGAGGGACATGGGAAATAACTGGGTAAGGGTGTATATTTGTCTGATGAAGCTGCCATCACAAAATAACACTGACTTTTTGCACCATATGGCGAATATTCTAAACGCCATGGGAGGATGGTTTGTGTTAGATTAGTTCCATTTTATGATATGTGATTTTTTTTCATCTCTGTGTAAAGAAGTCATGGAGCATCTCAGGAAATTAGAGTTGAAAGTACCTTCATTTTGACCTCGGTCCTGTGCAAGTGTGTTTAATCCCCCTGCAAGACAGGGGAAGGGGCGGAAGGAACCCCCAAGAAGGAAGACAAGTCATTGGGGAGTTGTGGTTGTCAGACAGCTGGGATGCTAAGGGAATCCGAATCTGCCTTCATAGCGCAGAACCCTTCTGGGGATGCAGATTTTGCCAGGCAAATATGGCTTTGATTAAGGCTTTGGCATGGGCTGACCATGGAGGAGCGCAGTGATTTTCACTCCCCACACAGGCAATGGGACTGCCCAGCAGGGCTGCTGCCTCTGCCGCATATATTCATGGCAGGAAAAGGCTTCCTGATCCCCCACAGTGGGGTGCATGGGCTTGGAATGGGGCAGGAAGGAGGCTCAGAGGGAAGTAGCCTTGCTGCCAGGGCGGGGGGGGGGGTCTTCCAGCTCGGCCCTGTTTCCTGTACCACTGTGCCACTCTGCAGTCTTCCGGCTTCTACCTCCTGGGGCTGGGTTCCTGCCAAGGACACAGTGTCCTGCCAACACACACACATGCTCCTAACTGAGCAGCCGTGCACCACAAGCCTGGCCAGTACCACCATGCCAGGTACATGCGCATGGGCAAACACAAGCTCACATCCAAATATCAAAGCCATTCACCTGTATGTAGGCATCGGCCCCATTCACCACTGCATACATAGGAGCCCCCCAAACATATACACTTGTGTGTGCATGCATGCACACACACACACACACACACACACACACACATGCTCTGCTAGCAGATACATAGGCAGTATCCACAGGGACTTCTGCCATTCAATGTGCAGTGACACTGGTTTGCACTTATATACAATTCTGGACATGTAACTTAGACTATGTTATAAAAAAACTTCCCAAAGTAGGCTGATGTCAGTGGCTCATGTCCATAACCCTAGCTACATAAGAGGCTGAAAATGGGAGGATCAAGCTTTGAGGCAAGCCAGGGCAGAGAAATCCTCGAGACTCCCAATTCAAGAAAAGGGGAGTTGGATATAGTGTCTCATAACTTCTTTTGGGGGGGGTGGGAAACAAAGCCATTTAGATATGCTCTCACTGGATGCAGCATCTGTTATGAAAGAAATTAATGACAAAAAGAAACACATGTATCATCCCAACTGTGACAGGAAGCCTAAAATAGGTGGATAGCAGTTCAAACACCCACCTGGACAGAAATAACAAAAAATAAAGTCAGACTGCAAAGCTAAGGCGTAGAAGTTTGGTACGGTCTAGGGGATGCTGTGGGAGACACTGGCTGCAGTAGCCCCCGTGTCCAGGTTAAATGTCACAGGACATGAGCATAATTCAGTTATTTATTGAGTTTTTCTCTCCTATGCACGCACAAAGGAAATGAGGTTTTGATCATTTCCGGGTGGCAGATGTGATGGTTACATGCATTTTGATTCAGTATACCTTAAACTGTATGTTAGCATAGAATTGTTCTGAGCAGATACTTAGGACAGAATACACACACACACACACACACACACCTTTTCATCAGGTAACTTCCTTCCTAGAATGGCTTTGTGTTCTGTTGGCTTTTCCTTCCACCCTGACATTTGTACATATGGCATGAGATAAAGGTGAAGATACCTTCTTGTCTTGTGCATATACAGGTGTCTCCATATCATCAGTTTAAAAAGTCCGTGTGAAGCTGGGCACCAGTGGCTCACACCTATAATCCTAGCTACCCTGAAGGCTGAGATATAAGGAACACGGTTCAAAGCCAGCCCAGGCAGAAAAATCCCTGTGAGACTCTTACTTCCAATTAGCCACTCAAAAACTGGAAGTGGCACTATGGCTCAAAGTAGTGGAGTTCTAGCCTTGAGCAAAAGAGCTCAGGGACAGCACTCAGGCTCTGAGTTCAAGCTTTACAACTATCAAAAAAAAAAAAAAGCTGTCTGAGTACAGAGAACTTGGCCTAGCTTGTATGAGGCTCTGGTCCCCATCCCCAGTGCTTACATACAAACACACACACACACACACACACACACACACACACACACATTGGTCCCCTCATTGACATACCTGGTACACCATATCTGTATGACTCAAGTTTTCCACTTTTGCATGTTGCTGTAACAGAATACCACAGGCTGGGTAATTTATAAAGAAAAGAGATTTCAGTTCCTGAAACTGAGGGGCTCTCTTGCTGTACCATAACATAGCCAAAGGCATCTCCTGGTAAGAAAGCAAGTATGATGCCCAGCCAGCATGCAGCATGGGCTCTGTTATTATCTGCATTAATCTCATCCCAAAGGTCCCACCTCTTAACATTGCAAAGACAAATGTCAGCACTGAGCCCCAGTCTCCCCCACCTCCTGCACAGCTCCTCTTGTGGGCTCTCTCCAAGAGACCTTTCTTTCTTTCTTTCTCTTTCTTTCTTTCTCTTTCTTTTTCTTTCTTCCTTCCTTCCTTCTCTCCCTCCCTCCCTCCCTCCCCCCTTCTTCTCTCCCTCCCTCCCTCCCTCCCTTCCTTCCTTCCTTCCTTCCTTCCTTCCTTTCTTTCTTTCCTTCTTTATTTCTTTCTTCCTTCCTTCCTTCCTTCCTTCCTTCCTTCCTTCCTTTCTCTCTTTTTTTTGTCTGTCATGGGGCTTGAACTCTGGGCTTGGGCGCTATCCCTCAGCTCTTCAGCTCTACTGCTTGAGCCATAATGCCACTTCCGGATTTCCAATGGTTTATTGGAGATAAGGATCTCACAAACTTTCCTGCCCAGGCTGGCTTTAAACCTTGATCCTCAAATCTCAGCTTCCTGAGTAGCTAAGATTACAGACGTGAGCCACTGGCGCCCAGCCTCCTGGAGACCTCTCTTTGCAACCCAGACTCAGATAAAAATCACTCAGCCATTATCCACAAACACTCACCTGGTCCAGAGTCAACACTAGACAGACAGACTTGGACTGCGATCAGAGGGACAATTGCTGTTTGGTGGGGTCTGTTCTTCCCTGCTGGGTCTGGAAGCTAGACGCATCCCAGCGTGCTATCTTTTCATCAGCTTTTGCCACTCAAGTTCAATGAATTCCCCCAGGGCAGGGTAGCTCTTTTTTTTTTAAATTAAATTAAGTCCCCTAAACTTTTAGCCTGGCTTTCTTTGGCTGGTTTGGAGAGGTAAGGAATAAGGGGGGAGGGAGAGATTATTTTGAATGATTAGTGAGGCTAGAGTTCCAAATAATGAAGCTTGTAGGAGTGAGGTCTTCCCTTTGAAAGTCTTGAGGATTTCTGGAAGTTTCTTCCATCTGAACTTTCTCCTTGGAGTGGAGCCAGGATGTTGCTTAGAGAGAATGCTGTGTGCTCTGAGCTGAGCAGTTAGCAGAGTTAGAACTGCATCCGGAATCTCTGAGGGGAGAAGCCACATTCTCAGGATGGTGATCTAGAACCTCTGCATGCAGCTGTACCTGCATAGTCCCTATACCTGACTGCCTCTCCCTACACCTGTGCCTCTCCTGAGAGCCAAGCAGCAGGGGTCTGCCTGTAATCCTTGGGTTACCAGGATACCTGTGCACCTTCGGCGGGAAATGAGGGAGATGCATGCCAGGAAGGCATCCGTTGTAGTCATTAGCTGGGTATCGAGTGCCCGCTCTGCACCTCTGGCTTCGGCTGAGGATTTTATTAGAGCTGCACCCCACTGTCTTGTAGATATTTCCTAGCCACCTCTCTGGCTGTTGTTGTCTGCTCTCTGAGTTCCAAAGAGAAGGTGAGCCCATGTTGGCTTTGGGTATGGCCTGGTGGGTGTTTTGTGCCTGGCCTCTGCCTTGTCCTGGTCCATAGTGATGAAGAGCACAGACTTTGTCAAGGAGGACCGTGGCTCCAGACCCCTGGTGAATATAGCCTTTCTGAGCCCCCCCTCCCCACAACACACACACCTCACAGTCTCCTTCCTGTTGCAGGTCCCTGGGAGAGGCCTGGGCCCAAGTAAAGAAGAGCCTTGCAGATGAGGCTGAAGTTCACCTCAAGTTCTCTGCCAAGGTAAGCACATCCTGAGGGTTAGTTAGGCCTTGGGCTGGTCCTACACAAGGGCATGCTGACCCAGAGCTAGGAACCATTTGTTTGTAGTGTTAGCCATTTCTGGGAGTGCAAATTCTAAGCTACACACATTAAGTCATGCCCCTAGATCGTGTTTCCATTGTGCAGGTCCACTGTATAGTAGTCCTAGGAAGGTGTAAGTACTAGGTATGCATTACTATGTGTTTCATACTGTGTATCTAATTGCAAGTTTTTGCTTCTATGTTTATTTTGTTTCTTTCAAGTCAGTACTAGGACTTGAACTCAGTGCCCGGACGCTGTCCCTTTACTTTTTCACTCAAAGCTAGTGCTCCGCCATTTGAGGCACAGCTCCACTTCTAGCTGTTGGGTAGTTGATTAGAAATAAGAGTCTCACAGACTCTGCTGTCCAGGCTGACTTCAACCCCAAATCCTCAGATCTCAGCCTCCTGAGTGGCTAGGGTTACAGGCATAAGCCACCAACTCCCAGATAGTTGCGAGTTCATGTAATTTAACAATGCTGTGTTTAGCATTCACGTCTTGAAAGCCAGTGGAGGCAGCCCCAGGGCACCTTTGTGGCAAGGACAAATATACCAGTTTCTCAGGCAAACCCCTGCGTACTGGAACCCCACTCTGTCTTTACCAAACTTGCAAAAGAACAGATCAAGTGCTGGTGGTATGGCTTTGTGGTAGGGCTACTGACTTGCAAGCCCTAGGCTCTGAGTTCAAACCCCAGTACTATGTATTTGAGAAAGAGACAGAGAGAGAGAGAAAGAGAGATCATGTTCTCTATGTTTTTGGAGTCTACTTCTACTAGTCTCTGCCCACACATTTTTGTTTCCATTCCCTGGAGTTCATTTTGATAAATGTTTTATCTGATCAAGTGCACATAGAGATTGCTTCTTTGTATTCCTCTCCTTAGAGTATCCTCCTTTTCTGACCAAACATTTCATTTTGTTAGGTTTGTTACAAATTTTGGAACAGGTACGTGAACTCCTTCTATTTGATTTTAAAGACATTAGCACGCAGACTTTTCTGAGGACAGGGGGTGTATAGCTCCTTCTTACTCCATCTCAGTAAGTAAGGAAGCACCCGGCTCATAAGAGAGGAGTAATAAGTATTGCCAAGTCAGGCGTCGGTGGCTCACACCTGTAATTCTAGCTACTCAGGAGACTGAGATCTGAGGATCACCGTTCAAAGCTAGCCTGGGCAGGAAAGCCCACGAGACTCTCATCTCCAATAAACCACCAGAAAACCAGAAGTGGTGCTGTGGCTCAGAGAGCTTTGTGAGGAGTTGGGGTGGGAAGGAAGACCCACACCATCACCATTGCTTCGAAAGGATGCTACTTTTTGTGCCATGAGCTGACAGCCAGATGTGAAAATTGGGGGAAGGGGCTCCCCACTTCTTGCGTAGCTTCCAACAGGTTATTTCTATGCTGGGGATCATGAAACACTTTTCTAGTTCCCAGTGAAGCTGAGCTACCACTATCTGAGCTCACAACAGCGCCCTTCTCCCCATCTCCACCATCGCTGGTGGTAGACACAGCCAGCTACAGACTGGGGGGATGAATGGGAGGCTGCTGCTGTGCACGGCGGGGCCATAAGTCAGATCAGGAGCTTCGGGAAAGTTTGGTGGCATTTTCTTCCCATGGCCAGGACCTCTCATTTACCACCATGTAGACTTTAACACAGGTGGCAAGATATTCTTTCATTGCTAAGTGCTGGTGGCTCACACCTGTGATCCTAGCTACTCAGGAGGCTGAGATCTGGAGATCAAGGTTTGAAGCCAGTCCAGGCAAACAAATCGGAGAGATACTCATCGCCAATTAACCAACAGAAACCAGAAATGAGCTGTGACTCAAGAGATAGAGAGCCAGCCTTGAGCAAAAATAGGGCGAGTGCCTAGACCCTTTGTTCAAGTCCTGGGACCAGCACATGCTCATTCTCGGTCTGTGTCTGTCTGTCTGTCTGTCTGTCTGTCTGTCTCTCTCTCTCTCTCTCTCTCTCTCTCTCTGTCCTATCTGTCCTGTCTGTCTGTCTTGTCTGTCTGTCCTGTCTGTCTGTCTGTCCTGTCTGTCCTGTCTGTCTCTCTCTCTTTCTCTCTCTCTCTCTCTCTCTCTCTCTCTCTGTCCTATCTGTCCTGTCTGTCTGTCTTGTCTGTCTGTCCTGTCTGTCTGTCTGTCCTGTCTGTCTGTCTGTCTGTCTGTCTGTCTCTCTCTCTCTCTCTCTCTCTCTCTCTCACACACACACACACACACACACACACACACACACACACAAATGCTCTCAGGTGCACAGGACAGGACAGAATTCATATCTCTTGACTTCATCATCCACAATACAAGACAGCTACTCCACTCCACAAATGAGAAGGGACAGAGAGGCTGTCCCAGGCCCTCTCCCACAACCGAGTGGCCCCAGTCACAGAGCGGGTAACAGAAGACCCAGCAAGTGCAGGACTTGACCCCGAGGCCTTTGCTTCCTACGGTGCCAGCTTTGCAGCCGTGGTGGTTAAAACACAGGACCCTGGGGCTGGAGATGCAGCTTTCCCATTGGAGCGCACTGGCTTCCAACTCCCAGACCACACAAACAGAATTGTTAACACCTGGCTCTTGAGGGATGCTCTGCCCTTCTGGGAGTGGCCACAGTGGGGTACAGGCTGGCCCCCCAAATGGTCAGGCATTTAAACCAGTGTCCACAGAGCAGGGTAGATTTTACATTCATCCACTCAGAGGCTTATGAAGAAGGCTCTCCAAATACCCCAACAGACTTGGCCATGGGAACTTCTGCTGCTTCTAGTCTCATTGTCCCTACTGGCCATCTAGTAGCCTCTTGGCAAGAGGAAGGGAACTCCCAGGATGTGTGTGTGCGTGGATATGTGTTTGTGTGCGTGTGCATGTGCACATGCACCCTGGATCATGAAGCTACATACACATCAAAGCTGTTTTCAGATCTGCCCCCAGAAGACATATTGAAATTCTGCTCTGCAAGTTCGCCATCAGGGGTAAAAGCTCTTTAAGAAATGTAATTTCGTTATGGCAATCTTTATGGCTTTTCTACTCTACCCAACCAAGCTATTGCTGATCGCAACAAGTGGCTGAAGAGATGAGATTGCTTTATTCCTAAAGAGCTTTACCTTGCTCCAACGGAAGAAAGGAGGATTGGAAATTTTCCTGCTGCTGGCTGGAAATTTAATTATGCGATACAAGCCATGCATGCAGTCAGATTTGCAGGGACAGGGGAGGGAGGATGAAGAGTTTTAGCTCTGCGCTGTCTCTAACAAGCTTTGCAACCTAGGGCAAGTCACTTAGCAGCCGCCAGATTCCATTTCTTCAGGTGTGAAATGAGAATCTTGGACTAGACTGTCCCATGAAGCTCACGGAGAGTGACCCATGGCCACCCCCAGCACATGTCGATACCCTTGTCACGCCCATGCCTGCTCATACATATTCATGCATGTGGGTGGCAGAGACGGATATTCCCTGACCCAGGACTTAATCCTCTGCCTGAAATGCTCTGTTATCTTCTGTCCAAGTCTGCTCTGCTCTTCTCTCCAAAGAGCTGGTCTTGATCCATTAAAGTGACTTCCATGCTCTCAGTCATCACTCAGCGTTTTAACAATGCTGGGTGTCAGAAATCCCACTTGCAATTCTGAATTTCTCCTGTTCTTCTCTCATGGTGTATGATTGCAAAGGAGTGGAAGACAAAAAGAACTGAGGGTTGGAAAGGAGGCAGGCTCTTCTGGTACTGGGCCGGGCTTCCCACAGAGTCACACTGTCAGAAAGGACTTCTGACTAAGTACCTAGAAAGCAAAAGCTCTTGCAAGCTAAGAATGGGCATTAAAAGCTACTAAGCCAGCTTGTTAAAGAAAAAGATTAGATATTCAAAAAGTACTTAAGACGTACTGGATACCGTGGCTTACGCCTACAATCCTAGCTACTCAGGAAGCTGAGATTTAACATCAAGGATGCATACCAGCTTGGGCAGACAAATTCATGAGATTATCACCAATGAACCAGCAAGATGTTGGGATAGGGTCATGTCTCAAGTGGAAGAGCCAGCCTTGAGCAAAACAATGGAAAGTAGGAGCTCTTGAGTTCAAACCCCAGTATCAGCACACACATGTGCATGTGCATGCACACACGCACACACACACACACACACACACACACACACACACATTTATGACTGAGCCTAAGAGTTTGCATCATTGCTTGTGCAGTCAAATCACCTCCGGCAGAGGGCAGCATTGCTTCCTGAGCATTATTTGGAATTGGGGGAAAGCCTTTTGTTACAGTCACTGGGTTCATGCCACAGAGCCTGAGCTGGGGCTTCATGCTGGGCATGCTTCCAAGCCACTGAGGGCTCATGAAGGTCTGGCAGTCACTCATTTACCAGGTTTTCAAAGAGAGCTAGAGTTTCTGAGTCAACAGCCGATTTAGCCTCCTCGCCCCAGGAGTCGGGAGCTGGTTCCCATAGCAACTAAATTCCACCACTCCTACTCAGCAGATGCCTCCTCTGTCTCTGTACAGAGGTGTAGTAGTGCCATGTCTGGCTATAATTGAACACCAGGGACTGGCTAGGTGATAAGGAATAGAGGTTCACTTAGATCACAATGGCGGAATCTGAGAAAGTCCAAGATCAAAGGCACCTGGCGTCTGCCAAGAGCTTTCCCATGGTGTCATACATGGCAGAAGGCAACACATGGCCAGACAAAGCCAGCATGTAGGTTCAGATCTCCTCAGGGTCCCCTCCTGGGTATCCCCAGCCCAGCAACCTCATGGAATCCTAATTGGGACACGGTCAAGAGCGTAGGAAAGGGTGCATATGCGACATCTTACAAACACCACCAGGTGGGGATATTCTCCTATGGAAGGGACGTTCTAGAGGCTCAAAATGGACCGGAGACATTTATAACCCATAGCAGGAGGAGCTCCCCAGCTGGAGGGCCAGCAGGCCTCTAAGACCCAGCAGGTCTAAGCAGGCTGTCCCTGTTAGTCACCCCCAAAGCAGTGGTCTTCCCACCCTGAGGATGGACTGCTTAGACATCCATCACTCTCTGCAAGGAATGAAGGAATCTTACCCTGCTGTAGACATGGTCAGACACTGTGCCCAGTTAGTGGGCAAGCCAGCTGTGGCCTCTGGCCCTGGGTTTAGTCTACAAGCACACAGGTCCTAGCCATCTCCAGGGGCAGGGAGAGAAGGGCCCTGGAGAGAAGAAGAGAGGAGGGGAGAGGAGAGGAGAGAGGGGTCACAAAGCCTCAGCTGAAATGGCACCTACTTGAGGCGGTGGAGTGGTGCTAATCACAGGCACCTTTGGGATGGATGGAGGCTAGGCTGGGGACCCCTAGGGAGAATGGCTAGTAAGATTATAGAAGGCCAAGACCCAGGGCAAGGGTCTGGGAAGCTGGGTTAGGGATCTGAGAAGCTGAGCAGATAGGATTCCAGGCTGAGTGAGAGCAGAGAGCTATGGGTTTGGGGAGGCTGAGGAGTGAGCATGCAAGTGTTAGGCTATCTCCTACCTCTGGCTTTGATCAGAGCAGCCTTTCATTGATCTAGTTTTTGTTTTTTGGTTTTGGGGGTTTAGTTTTAAAGAATATATTTTGTCATCTCCGATTGCAGAGGGTCACATCTGTATTCGTAGCTATTGGGGAGGCTGAGAATGAGAGGATTGTGGTTTGAGGCCAGCTCCGGCATCAGTAAATGGGAGACTCTATTTTTAAAAAATAATAATGAAGGTAAAAGGAGCTGAAGATTTGGCTCACATGATAAGAGTACCTTCCTGGAAGTACAAGGCCCCAGGGTCAATGTCATAGAAAAGCAATAACAATCAATGAAAAATAAAATAAATATCATCTCACAATAACAACACACCTCCCAAAAATGTCCTAAGAACATATTCTCAAAAAGAGGTGGAGTGGGGTGAGAAAAGGCAAAGAAACAAAAGAGAAGGCAAACAGGTATCTGTGGCTCCCACCTGTAATCCTAGCTACTCAGAAAGCTGAGATCTGAGGATCACAATTCGAAGTCAGGGCAGGAAAGTCAGGGAAACTCTTATCTCTAATAAACCAGTGAAAACCTGGAAGTAGAGGTGTGGCTCAAGTGGTAGAGTTCCAGTCTTGAGTGGAAAAAGCTAAAGGATTAGCTCCCGAGTGCTGAGTTCAAGCCCCTCTACCAGCAGAGCAAAAGCTGAAAAGCTCAGTGCCAACCAACTCTTCTCAAAGCAGGAGTCTCTTCCCCTATCCCTCAGAACACAATACAATTCCTTGGGTGGGGACAGACAGTGTACCTGTGCCCGGGTTCCAGCTCCTTGACTTGAGAAGACCTCCCAGGGGTACTGCCTAGGAATTTGCCCTCGTGAGTTCCCAACAGGCCCCAAGCAAGCACCCTCTGTAGATTTGGAGCAGGTCCCTGTCATCTTTGCATCCTAGGTACTTGGCCCATAGAAGACAGTAAGCAGGAATTATCCAGGCTATCACCTAACACGACTTAATTAAGCAGAGTCCTTTCAATCACTATTTGCTGAGCTGAAGGCAGTAGTGCCTGGGCCAAGCGCTATAGATGGGGGTGACGTAGTTCCTGTCCCCAGAAATTCCCAGTTTCGAAAGTACAAGAGAGAGACATGACCACGCAAAGCCACTCGAGAAGTAAGTGGTTAGTCATTAGCTCGATGTAGCCAATTACCAGTGCATGCGTGTCGTACACCATAAACGTATGCAAGAGAAATGGAAAAGAGATAGATTTTGGAGAGGCAGCTGTTGTAGACACTTAGAAGCGGAAACACTTAGGTGATGGGGGAAATTGGAACATTCCAGGCTCACCTGTGTTCTTCCAAAATATGAATGGTGGGCCTGGGACCCACGGTGACATGTGTACACTGAGATTACATAGCTGCTCCTGTCCCAGACCTTCCTGCCCTGCCAGGGATGGAAGCATCCCTCCCTCCCAGCTGCCCATCCTGCCGCCACGGCTGTGCCCAGGCCTGACTGCGGCCTTCCCACCCTCCTCCCCAGCTCCACAGCGAGGTGGAAAAGCCCCTGATGAACTTCCGGGAGAACTTCAAGAAAGACTTGAAAAGGTGCGACCACCACATCGCCGACCTCCGCAAACAGCTGGCCAGCCGCTACGCGTCCGTGGAGAAGGTGAGGGGGGACGGGACAGGGTGGCTGGGTCACACACGGAGGCTTTGGGGGAAAGCCAGCTGTGGTTGTGTGTACTACCCAGAGGCCTCTGTTCCCATATGGTGGGATAGTGGGGAGGCCAGAGAACTCTCTTCTATACAAGTGGTAGGTAGAGATCATTGCCCTGGGAGCCAGTGGGAACAAGGAGAGGACTGCAGGTGCACTGGGGATTCTGGTGAGCACATGAGGCATTTTTATGAAGGATGTGGTGCTGGTATCCACGGGGCTGCTATGTCTGGGATCTCACCTACAGAGGGAGCCCTCCCCCCACCCCACCCCCACCCACTCTCTCCCTACAACACACACATAGCAAGCTCTGTGACCTGTCACTGTACCACAGGCCCGGAAAGCCCTCACAGAGAGACAGAGAGACCTGGAAATGAAGACCCAGCAGCTGGAGATCAAGCTGAGCAACAAGACAGAAGAGGACATCAAGAAGGCCAGGAGGAAGTCCACACAGGCTGGTGAGGCCCCTGCTACCCCCGGGGAGTGGGGGGGGGTGGCTGGAAATGGGCCTTCAGAGAGCTGGCATCTCTTCTGTGCCAGTTTTTTTTCCCTTCCTCTCCCTCCAGCACCTTGTTTTCTCTCCTGTCTGTGACCAGGGATCTTAAAGGACAAGATGTGGGGGGTAGAAGGGAAGCTGGCCAGGCTGTTCCCAGGCTCTGGTCAGGGCCTCCTGTCCTGGCCTTTCTGCTTTCCCACTCTAGTTCTCTATCCAAAAGTGGACACATCCCACCTGCACCAAGAGTGCAGGGTCCTGGCTCTGCTAAGATCACAGAAGTGCACCCCCAAAACACCTGAACTTGCCCCTCTCTCCAGGCAGGAATAGGATGATTAATCAGCCTTCAGAATCACCCACATTCCCCCAGTGTGTTGGTTTCTTCTGCCACCTAATGGATGAACTATGTAGTACACAAGGAGCAGGGAAAGGGCTGGTTAGAACTGATAAAGCAATTCAGTGTGCGTCTCTAAAAGAAGCTGGGTTTTATGACATGTAAAGACAACACATATCTCTGGGATTCAGATGTGTGTTATGGAATTAGTGTTTGGATGACATTCAGGTCCCTTTCATCTTAACTCCTAGTGAGACTGTTATAATTAATTTTGTTATATAACAAAGAAGCCACGCTACAGACATTTTTGAAATCAAATGGAACAGAAATAAGCCAACCAAAAAAATGTGGTATAAGCATAAGCATTTACTGCATAGATCTGACAGTTCACAATGATAAGTCACTGGGTCCAAAGAATTATTAAAATCCATAATATAGGTCTTGGGAATAAGAAGGGGATCAGAGAAAGAAGAGGTTTAAGTTAGTTTTATTCATTTTTAAAAAGCTACATGCTAGTGTCTCATGCTTGTGATCCTAGCGACTCAGGAACCTGCAATCTGAGGATCAAAGTCAGCCTGGGTAGACAAATCCATGAGACTTTTATCTCCAATTATCCAGCATAAAGCTAGAAATAGAGCTGTGGTAGAACACACCATCTTTGAGTGGGGGAAAGAAAGCTAAGGGACACAGCCCAGGCCCTGAGTTCAAGCCTAAGGACCAGCACTAAAGTGAATAGTCTTATTGCAAAAACAATGCAGGTACATGGCAAACATTTTAAACATTTTAATACTCCCACAATAATACAAAGTATTATTTGCCAGAAATAATCCCCATCAATGCAGGTA